TCGTATTTTCACTGAAATTGAAAGGAGGCAGTTGTTATCGGCTCCGTTTTGTTATAAATATCTACACAGTGAAGATGACGCTCATGCAGCACGACGCCTCAACATTTTTGCTGTCTGTTTAGTTGTTAATATTAAAATAAAAATAGGCAGTTCCTTATATCAAGTTTACATTTTATTGTTGAGAAAGTGAAACAACGTAGCCAAGGTGATGTGAATGAAGTTATAAAGTAACGTTACACTGTTCCCTGTGAAGATTGACGCGTGTCCTCGGTATGTTTTCCATATCAAACTGAGAAGAAGAGATGCAGCCTTGATCAAACTTGCGAAGTCTAAACTTACACGGAGAAGATTCAGGACTGAACTGTGTGTGTTAGGCTACTTAATATTGAGGAAAAGCCCCAATCAGAGAGGCGAATGTCTGCAGCCCCGCCTCCGTTTTCAGATGTCTCCGTCTTTCCCCATCCACACTGAGACGGAGCAGCAGCGTTTCAGAATGAAAACGGCCTCTCCAGCATTTTCAAAAAGCTCCGTTTTCGGCGCTCGAGAACTCCGGCGTAGTGTGGACGGATGGCGTAACCGTAGCAAAACTTATGCGTTTTCAAACTAAAACGCATTAGTGTAAACGGGGCCTAAGTTCAGTTAAGTTCAGTGTGGGTCATTTTCACTGCTGAGAGTCCAAACACTGAAAAGCAAATCCATCAATGCGCTGCTCCACAAGTCCTGTACAATGCAAGCCAGTGACAACAGTTACAAGGAACAAACTTCACCATTTTGCGAAAGTGAAGAAAAAAAAACCCTAAGAGAAATCAGGCTCAGTTGGGCACGACGATTTCTCCTATGGCAATCAAAACCAAACCGTGTTGCTGCCTTCTAATAATCCATATCGTTTTAAAATATTAGATAAATGTAGGAAAATTATAGCTGGCCTATTTGTGTTCCTGCTTGACTTTAATTGTTTACTTGCTAAGTATTTTCACTCAGATTTGTTGCTGAATAACCAGTGTGGAATAACAATGCTGAATCAGGCCAAAGAGCTCCAATGTTAACCCAAGGAGAGGCAATGTGTGGACGCTAAGTGAAGCTGGATTTATACTTCCCCTGGCGCCACACCGCACATGCCCGCTGACTGCGTACGCATCTCAAGAAATGGACAAGGCTTTTTACCCGCCCCGTTCGCCGTTGTCATATTCTTTAAAACAACAGGGGGCGGTCAAAAGAAACCGACCGCAAAGTCAGACGGAAGTAGAAAGTTTCCGGGACTACAGTATATCATTAATATAATTGAAGATTTTTAAACTAAATGTTTTTTTATTATTCTTGTTTTTATAACCATTTAAGATTTTTTTATCAAACTTTAATGCATCACTTGCTTTTGTTCATATTTTGGACAGTTTACCTAATAAATTTTCTTAAAATATTAATGATAACAGAACATGGGTTGCTCTAAAAAAAGTACACTTACTAAAAAATACAGATTTCTTTAGACTTAGCCCTTTCCACAATTCACACATTTCTGTCTGTCTAGTTTCTGTTCTATCGTTATGCTAAAAAGGAAGTAATGGTCCAACATTACTGACCATTATCACCAATAAAGACAAGAAAAACAAGCATCAGTAAACCAATTGTAAACCGATGGGTTCAAATATTCTTTTCCAGTTATCAAAGAAATAATTTGTTCCTTGATTATAGTTTTATGATTATAGTTTCTTGATTATGGTTAATAAATTGTTTTAAATTCAAAATTGTAATATATACATCAGCGTAAAACCTATGACTGGTGGAAAAATATATTTCTGTAATTGTGTACTAGGGTCTCTACTTTTGCAGGCTTTTTAAAAAAAAAAAAAAAGCCTATTTTTTTACCAGGCTTGACAGATCAAAGAAGCCCAATGGCCGACAATGGCTTGGTGTGTCTCAGCCCTTAGTGTGAAATGGGTGTTTTTAAAATTTTATTGTCAAATGGTTTCAAAGTCACTACTTTTGACAACCATAATGCAAACTGGACCTTTCCTGTTCGTTTTAGCAGCGCCGGAAACGCCAGAAGACAAACCAAACCGCCAAGCATCACAACATTAAAACACTGATTTGAAGTGGTATATAAAAATCAGACCAAAACACAAAAAGGTAAATGAATTACAAATGCCCGAAGCACTGAGAATCAAAAAAAAAAATGTATAAAGAAATCTGAACTATTTAAGTTATTAGGTAAAAGCAATAATTTAAGTTTATTGCAAAATATGTATTTAAAGTATGGCTGCAAAATAAATTAATTAAAAATAGCAATAACAGTTATCAAAAGCTGACATTGTTATGCATCTTGCCAGGGAATCCCAGTTCTGTACAAAAAAAAGTACTTTTGCACACTTTTAGGTTGTAGTAGAAGTTTGTAAATTAGGACAAAAGACAGAGAAAACAAGCGGGTCAGCAGCACAGACTTCAACTATATTTAGTAAACACAGGGCACAAAATAATTACTGTCATATGTTGAATCTAAAACTGTAAAAGGTTTTTAACGTATAACCTTCAAGATAAAGGATGAACAACAGCATTAAATTACTGTCATATTAAAGATATTTGCTTATAGCTCAGGCTTTTGGATTATTTTTTTTTTACTTGTACTGCACAATGGATTAGAACATTACTGATAATATGGAAATATAAAATGAAAATAAGGATTGGTTTTGACAAGTAACAAACAAATCATTGCAAGGAAAGCCATTTGGCCAATTAGAGCAATAACTCAATTTAATTAAAAAATACTCCTCGTCATGAGCTTATTTCCTGTTTCAGACCTTATATGGTACTTCTCAATAAGACTAATATACACAATGAGAGACAGGTCATTGTGTACATTAGATCACTGGATATTTATTCTTTTCCCGGAGGTATAGAAACAATGGTAATGGGAGGACGAAATGCTGACTGCAATGACATGACAGTGTGTATTTCTCCCACTTCAGCAGAAAGCCACACAAACAAAAGGAGGAGGCTTAGACAAGTGAACACTTCTAACGTCTGAGCACATAAATGGTCGTGTACAAAAGAATGTAGGGTTGTTGCGATACCATTAATTAATCTTACGATCCTATACCAGCTGAAGTATCACGATACCAAGTAGTATTGCGATACTGCAATTCATAATTCAAATTATAAAGAAAATGGTCAGAAATGCTATATTTTAGAGCTATTATAGGCCTACTTTAATTTATTATTCCCTTAAGGCCAAAAAGTATTATTTGCACATCACTTCACCTAAAATGTATTAATTCTTTTTGTTTATTTTGTAGATAACTGCCCAACAAATAATACATTAAAATAAAGATACAAATGATATCAAATCAAATTTGTTACAAAAGAGCTTTTTTACTTCAGTCTTATCAAGTTCCAATCCAAAGTAATTAAAAATTTCACTTTGAGTCTGCTTTTTTGTTTTTAAGGGATTATTGCAGTTGTTGTAGCAACTAAATCATATTAAGAGGAACACAAAAATGAACCAATTCAGATGTGAGTTTGAACCGAAGCATTTGAAAACATGCAATAGGTTACCATACAAGGCACAAGTTTTGCAACTTTAAAGGGCTCCTCAGACTATTAAAATAAAATGGTCTATTGTTGCACAACCGTGTGAGCATTTCAGTGACTTTTCCACATGCAACATTGTGTATTGTAGATAAACCATTAATGACGATACTACCGCTTACAAACTAAAATGGCACTGCCAGTACTTGAGCCATAGTATTGCGATACTACCATTGTACCGGTAAACCGTGCAACCCTACAAAAATGTATGCAGAGATTAATTAAAATAACTGTAAAATGCACTGCGCAATTACATTTTATAAAATATTAAATTAATTTAACTGTATACAACACAAATAGCCATATCACGATGCTTACAAACCTGTGCGTCAACTTATTTTATTAATTTATTTACTTGCTTTTTTATCATTAGAGTGCTGGTTCAGCTCAAAATAACAATTCTGTAATGGTGTACGCACACTCATATTAGTTCAAACCAAGGAATTTATGCAATTTATGCATCTCTAAAACACAAATATATTTTTAATCAAATTTTATATAGTTCTGCCCCATAAAATGTCTACTTAACAAACATTATCTAAGGAAATAAAAAAAATAAGAATTCCACATGATTTAAAAGGCTTAATCCAAGACTTATGAAGAGACTTAATCACTTTATACATGCAGAATTTAAATTTGGTTACGAAAACGATGCTTGCTTGATGTGTGGAAACCAATAGGGTCATTCTCATTTGTCACAGAATCAGTGCTGTTTCTCCTTGCGCGTCAAGCAAGTATGGTTGAGCTTTATTGATCATCATTTATGCAAATAAATATAAATTACACCAGGGCTGTGGGATTTGAATCCAACAAATAAAAATAGTACTAATACAACTCTTCATTAGCACTATGCTTTTAATCTTATAATCAAACTGTAGTAAATTGCATGATTATGACTCGTCATGTGATGTCAACATGGTAGCATAAACTCATTGCACGCAGACTGAAAGTTTTTTTCTTTCTTTAAGACTGATATGAAAGCTACCTCGTTTAAATGATAATTACAAGCATAACTCTGAGTAAATCTTTGGAAAGAAATGTACAAATAAATGTAGTGCCCGAATTAGTTATGAGACCAGAGCTGAAAACTTCGACTGCCAACAGACTCAATTCAATTCAATCCAAAAATAAGAGCTTTATTGGCATGACTTGCCAACTGACTCTATTTAAAAGTTGGCAAACGCACAAATGTACCGTTAAAAAGTACACAGTTAAAAACAATGGGTATTTTAAATGATAATAGATACAGTAACAAGCTCTAGTATAACCATAGAGTGAGGTAATGCCTCACTATGGATAAATCAAGAGAGAAGTCCGTTATTTAACATATATCAATGAACGTACTGGCAAAACCAGCCAGGGGGGAAAGCGACATTAGTTCTGTGAAGGAAGACTCAGTGAAGTTATAAACTAAAACTTACCATCGTGTTAGCACTTTGTATTTCCATGACCTGAAGAAAATCTAATCCAAATCAATGAAAAATGCCGCGAATCCTCCAGCGGTGCTCTGTGAAAAGTACCATGCGCGCACTGAACAGCTGAGCACTTTTCGTCTGTGTGTTAGTATAAAAGTTCGCCTCCCTTTTGGTCAACTTTGACAACTCTTTCACAAAGGATGCAGCCGAAACAGTAAAGGCTCAGTTTTAACACATGCACGCGATTCGCCGTGTGGAATGACGCGGCGAGTGGGCGGAGCTACAGTGCTGCTGCTGTTTAATTAGCTGCTGCTGCTGGGTCTGTCTGTAAACACAGAGTAGTTGTTAAATGCCTCGTGGTAGATTGATTCTTTTAAGAACCATTTTTGGCAGTTTTAGGATTTAAAACTATTTCAGATGGAGTTACAATTGTATATTCCCAAATGTTCAAAGGACAGCTTATGCAGACAGATGTGTGTGTGCTTTTTTGTTTAGCTACTTTTGGATTGTGTGCTGACTGTCTACATGTTATATTCTGTTGAATGTGGTGTTCATTTATCTAACCTCATATATTTAATGAATTCAGCTCATTTCAGGTATACATGTACAAACAGTGCCATAATAACTGCAGAATATACCAGATACATAATTGTATGTGTACCTAAAATATGTATTGTAGAATGCTTAAAAAGGTTTAAGTACAATTCCTGTGTTATATTTTGGTTTGTGATTATGTTGTGTAATGTGGGGCTTTAAGGGGCTGAATTCACACAGTAAAACAAAACAGTCAACTTTATCAAATGAAATGAGTGTAGTTACACTTAAATTGATTTAAAAGTGAATTCTACTCATTTGAAGAGAGTTTTGAACTCAGTACTTCAATTTAAATGGAGTAAGTTTACAGTACTCATATAGATTACTTTTTTTAAAACTCAAATGGTGTGTAGCAACCGGTTTTCTTAAACGGTTGGAGTTGCTTTAACTTATTGGGTTTTACAGTACTCGGTTGATTTGAGCTCTCTTCATTTATTGGGTTTTACTGTGCTCAAATTGCTTCATTTACTCATGGATTAAGTTGACAATACTCACTGGGATTAATTTTTGAACTTAAATGGTTTGTTGCAATCAGTTTTCACAAATAATTTGAGTTACCTTAACTTTTTGGGATTTACAGTGTAGAAAAAAGCAAGTCTGCACACTCAAGATTGGGGGGGGGGGGTGTCCATAAGTAGAGACTGGTATGTTTTTTTTTTTTTGAGAGAGAGAGAGTTGTTGTTTCAGCGAGCTAAAGGATTACTCTCTACAACATGCAAAACTTAATTAAAAAGACAAGTTTGAACTGTTTCACGCTTCCCGGCCTTCTTCAGTCTGTTCAGTGTTTTTTAAATAGTTCTTAACATCTGGCAATACCAAAAGTGTTGTCTGGGCATGGCACATCAAATCATAAAAGCTATGGCTTAACAAGTTCTTTTTAGACCCGACTTGCCCTGCATTTCACTCATTTTGTGTCTTGATAATTATCACATACCTAGAAACTTGAATACACAAAACTTTTGTGAGGCGCTCTGTTGAATTGGGGCTGGAAGGAAATTTCATAACCGCTTTCATCAAACAGAAACATGAAAGTACAAAAACTTCCCTGCTTTTTTCATTTGCTCTGAAATACAATTGGAGATCCCTGTTGATGATGAAAATGGAGATTAGAAATGTTATGATTACCATAGAGTTGTTGATTTTTCAGCTTTATTTTTTTATTAGTTATGTCCCTTTTCACCTTAAAATGAATATTTCTCAGTATTTATGGATGGTAACACTTAACTTAAAGGGGGTATTCATGAGACCATCATAACACAATTATAGTTATGACATGACACTTCATGAATACAAATGAGATTTTATGCTTGCTTAAGACAGCTGTAAATAAGTGTCATTCGCTCAGTTAGGTCATTTTGTCAATGCAAAGGTGACATTGTTTGAGAAGTCTATTTGATGATATTTATAATGTGTGTCATGCCAGAATTATAAAGGTGTCAAGTAAATTCCAAGGTGTTAAGTAATAAAAGTGTTTCCTTATTTTTTCACCCCCATTTTGTTTCAAACCTGTTAATTTTGGTTGGTTGTTTGCTTGTTTGGTTGGTTGTCTGGCTGGTTGGTTGCTTGCTTGGTTTGTTGGTTGTTTGGATGGGTGGTTGGTTAGTTGGTTGTTTGGTTGGTTAGTTGGTTGGTTGTTTGTTTGGTTTTTTTGATTGTTTGTTTGTTTGTTTGGTTGGTTGGTTGGTTGGTTGGTTGGTTTGTTGGTTAGTTGCTTGTTGCTTGGTTTGTTGGTTGTTTGGTTTGTTTGATTGGTTGTTTGGTTAATTAGTTGTTTGTTTGCTTGTTTGTTTGTTTGTTTGTTTTTTTGCTTGTTTGGTTGGTTGGTTGGTTGGTTGGTTTGGTTGGTTGTTTGTTTGTTTGGTTTGTTGGTTGGTTAGTTGGTTGGTTGGTTAGTTGCTTGGTGTTTTGGTGGTTTTGGTTGGTTGATTGGTTGTTTATTTGGTTACTTGGTTGTTTGTTTGGTTGGTTGGTTGGTTGGTTGGTTGGTTGGTTAGTTTGTTTGGTTGGTTGGTTGGTTGCTTGGTTGGTTAGTTGGTTAGTTGGTTGTTTGTTTGGTTGTTTATTTGTTTTTTTGTTTGTTTGTTTTTTTTGGTTACTTGTTTGTTGGGTTGTTTGGTTGATTTGTTGGTTGGATGGTTAATTGGTTGGTTGCTTGGGTGCTTGGTTTGTTGGTTGTTTGGTTGGTTAGTTGTTTGTTTATTTGTTTGTTTGTTTGTGTGTTTGTTTGTTTGTTTTGTTTGTTTGTTTGTTTGTTTGTTTGTTGGTTGGTTCATTGGTTTGTTGGTTGGTTGGTTGGTTGATTGGTTGGTTTGCTGGTTTGTTGTTTGCTTGATTTGTTGGTTGTTTGGTTGGTTGATTGGTTACCTGGTTGCTTGGTTTGTTGTTGGTTTGGTTGGTTGGTTGGTTAGTTGGTTGTTTATTTGATTGTTTGGTTGGTCGTTTGGTTTGTTGGTGGTTGATTTGTTGGTTGGTTGGCTGGTTGGTTCATTGGTTGGTTGCTTGCTTGCTTGGTTTGTTGGTTACTTGGTTGGTTGATTGGTTAGTTGGTTGTTTGTTTGATTGTTTGGTTGGTTTGTTGGTGGTTGGTTTGTTGGTTGGTTGGCTGGTTGGTTCATTGGTTGGTTGCTTGCTTGCTTGGTTTGTTGGTTACTTGGTTGGTTGATTGGTTAGTTGGTTGTTTGTTTGATTGTTTGGTTGGTTTGTTGGTGGTTGGTTGGTTGGTTCTTTGGTTGGTTGGTTGGTTGTTTTGTTGGTTAGTTGGTTGGTTGGTTGGTTGGTTTGTCGGTTGTTTGGTTGGTTGGTTGTTTGGTTTGTTAGTTGATTCGTTGTTTGTTTGTTTGGTTGGTTGGTTGTTTGTTTGGCTGGTTGGTTGTTTGGTTTGTTGGTTGTTTGTTTGTTTGTTGATTGGTTGATTTGTTGATTGTTTGATTGAATGCAATAAATTGAAGGTACAGGTGTGAAACAACATATGCAAATGATGGCAAAATCATAAATCATACTAAATCTAAATACTAAATACTAAATCATGAACATGATATACAATTGTTTGGAGACAAATATTCAAGCATAAAAACATTTATGTTCAAACATTGACTTTCGTTTACAGATGAAATATTTGGAATAGGTGCGAAGAAGATGAGGTAATGTACTCTTCAACTGCGGGAGTCCATAGAAACAATGAGGTACACAGGCATTCTTGGGCCCAGGTGGTTTTGATTTGGGAGGCCCTTATGTGCCTTTAGATCATTTATTATTTCAAGAGAAGTGAAATTAACTATGAAGACAATGTTACACTTTTAGACCTATGGACACCCAAATAATGACCACCGGTCCTGAAAAGTAATCAAGACAAGTTTTGAAATTTGAGGGACATGTTTTACCATGAAGGAAAATAAAAATCTGAAAATATAAGATGAACAGTGCCTTTAGAGAGCACTTAGTCCATTATTTCTGCATTTTGTCATTCTTTGATGTTGAAATACCAGTTTCAATTTCCACACAAAATAACCATGTTTATTTATTTATATTTATTCATTAAGCAGATGCTTTTATTCAAAAAGAAAATAGAAGGAATCAAAATTGCAAAAACCAGTTATACAGTGTAGGTATGACGAGTCTCAGTTAGTACAATTCAGTGCAAATATTACTGACAATAAATAAATGAGTTCATAAATTAATTTAAAAAGAAATAGAATAAAAAATGCTTGTTAGAAGGTCAAATGTTGACAAACCTTTGACACATTTCTTGAAAATAGCTTAATTCACCTCTGCTCTGGTTAAGTTAGGCAGGTTGATCCACCAGCATGAAACTGTTAAGAAAGTCCTTGAAATTGATTGTGTGCTTCTACTGAGCACTTTTTGGAGGGCACATAGATCTGAAGCAGTGAATTAAGGTATGTGGTGCAGAGCCTGTGGTTGGCTTTATAGAGATTGATGAACAGAGGTTTGGAGCTCTCAGACATGCATGCTTTTGTAGTGTACACCTGGCCCTACCCCTCACTGTGACATCACTATCTCTATTGAGTGCATGTGTCTAAGAGTGTGTCTGATCATGCATGTGCAAGTCTCCAGCCAGTCACTTGTTTTTGGCTTATTAATAATCACTCTCGTTGCCACATTGGTTCAGTTTTGTGATAGTGTTGGTTGGAAGGAATAATACGGATTGTCAAACCAAGACAAAACAGGAGTTTGAACAAGGAGTTGTACAGTTAGAAAGTGCCAGATCCTCCTATTAATCCTATTAATGTTGTACAAGGTAAACCTGCAGTGCCAGACAGATGATAATCAAACATGATTGCACCTTGCACAACTAACTGACTGGAAAAATACGATGAAGGGTTGAGTTGGCTGAAACCTTAAGCAGTTCTGACTTAAAAAGGTTGAGTGTCATCAGCATATTTTGCATAAGAGATCACAATGATGCCAAGTAGAATAAGAGAAGGATTCAAGTAATGTAGATGCAAACCAGTTCAACGTTACAACTTGGTGACCCTTGCAAAATATCCCAAATGACTTATCTGAGAAGATCTGAATCACTGTATACAATGGGATTCCTTTGTCATAGGGGTTCTGTGTATATATTTCTGCAGAGGCAACTACAGTATGAGTCTTCTTGGTTAAGTCTGCATAAGTTCCCCACATTTCAGTTCATATTCAATACTAAATCACTCCATCTTTGTCAAATTAGAAAGTGTTGGTCTGCAGCAACATTTTGGTCATAGCGAAAATATTCAATTGGATTATGTCTAGATTCAGACTGAACCATACCAGAGTTATAAGCTTATTTATAGCGTTTTATCATGCTTATTCCATTGTGCTGTAAGTTGTCATCCTGCTGGAACATAATCTTTGATTATATCCAGAGTATGTTGCTACCACCACCATCAAGTCTGATGGAAGAGATGTTTACCAGAATCTTTTATTTTCTGGTTTGTGCATTTATGCTCTGGCTTCAGATTCATCCTGATTCTATTGATTAGGCCACCATTTTATATCCTAAACCTAAAGTGTGTATGTGTCTGGGTGGAAGGTCATTCAAATTTCGCACTTGATGGAAGATGTTCTAAAGACAGAGGTTATCAAAAAAAGCTAATTCTGTTATTATTTACTCATTCTAAATTTTAAATGTATGTTTCTTTCTTTCAATGAACAAAAACAGTGACTGCCACAGTATTGGTTTTCACACAATTACACTTAATGGGCTACCATCAACTGTCTGGTAACCAACATTCATCAAGTATCTTCTATAGTGATCAACAGAAGAAAGAAACTGATAGAACTATCCCTTCAACCAAAATGTTTTTTAAACAAAATATCCTACAATAACGGTGACTTTTATTATGTTTTATTTATTGCATGCATGTATTATTATAAATAGTAATGCTCTGTATTATTAAAGCTTGAGTTTCAGTCATACAAAAGCATTTTTTGTTTATTTGGTTTTAGTGTTATGGTCACAAAATAGTCATTTAGAAGAGTATTCTGAGTTATGAAGAGAGTCAGGGATATTTACTGTGCAATCAAGCAGATGTAGATGCAATGTCTCCAGATGAGCTCTGCCAAAGTGGAAAAAAAGATTTACATGTTTTCCTTGTACTGCTAAGTTACAACAGATAAGGATTTATGGTGCATCCATTTCTCAAAACATGTTTCACAACATTGACTAGATTCTTAGTTGTGATGCAAACAGGAGCCACATTTGTGGCTGACTAGATTATGAGCAAATCTCAATAAATTATATCAGCCAGAGTCTGATGAAGTTTTAAAATTAATGTTCTGAGCAAAGTCACCAAGTTTAATAAAATCATTTCAACTAACACTGTTTTGTGTTGTTGTTGCTGCACCTTTAAAACGTGCTGGGTTCCACACCATTCCTTCATGTTGTCCCTACATAAATCGATTAAGTTAGCTTACTTGTTTTCACAAATTTAAGTGGTTTAAACATAAATCAATTAAGTTGTTCTCCCAAAAAAACCCAGGAATTGTTTTGATTCAGCTCATTTTAAATGAGTATTTTGCAAGCAGCAAAAATCTTTCTTTTTTTTTTTTTTTGAATGTGGGTAAGTCAACATAATCACACTCTGTCAAACCTCAATGCATCAAGCACTTTCCCTTTAAGGAAAAGCTGTAATTTTACATAACTATGAGTCATCACTGACCATGCCAAAGCAACATGTTTCAACCATATTGAAGGATGAAGGTGTAATGCTCGCTTCTGACCTTTTTGGCTGAGCGTTTTCAACAGAGTTCAGAGATGAGCTCAGCTGAAATGTTAATGCAGTGAGGCTATTGCACAGACAGACACTTAGCTGGCCTCATCACCACTGGCCAGATGTATAAAACCAGACGGCGCACCAGGCCAGACACAAGAATAGACCAGACTCAACATTATATAGTGTTTGTAAACAAACATCCACTGCTGTAGGAAAAAAGTACCACTAAAAGATGACAGAAAATGAAGAGTGTGTAAATTCAAGGACCTTGAGGTGAAGGAAACCTTGTTCACTATTTAATGTGGAATAAATCGATGTTTACTCTCAGCAGGGTAAAACACACATTCTTTGTAAATAAGCATTTCAGGTCTGGGGTTTTTTTCCTCTAGGATTATGCCAATGCTTTTTATACAAATGCTATGGAGGAAAACATTGTTAATTTGAATAGATGACATGATCATTAGTGCACTCAAGTAGTGCACAACTAACTTATTTAAAATGGGTTGAAACAACACAATTCTTGAGATTTCATTGGGTCAACTTAATTTTTATGTTCAATCCACATAAATTTATTAAAATTTATTCCACTCTGTGGAACCCTTCATTTTTAGTGTGGTCGTACAGACTGTAAGAAATTCCTTTATGTTTCCCAACACAAATCAATTAAGTTAACTTTAATCCTTTAACAAATTTAAGTGGATTAAACATAATACAATTAAGTTGTCCCCCCAAAAAGAGTTATGTTGTTTCAACTTATTTTAAATAAGTAGTTTGAACAAGAAGCAAAAGTCATTTTTGAATGTACAGTTATTTTTTTTTGTTGGGATTTTGTTGTTAGCTGAGCATTGCCAAATGCTCTGAACATTATAGATGAAGGTGAGCTCCATCTGTTAATAGGATTTCTTTCTTTATTTGTTTATTTTTAGTGAAATGAATGATTTTATTATGTAAGGATGCATAAACTTTTCTCCACAATCAATTTGTGTTTGGAGACATGAAGGAATCAACTTAATTTTGTTGTTTTTACATATTTCAGTGGATTGAACAAAAAACAATTCAGATGTTACCCCCAAAAAACTCAAGAATTGTGTTGTTTCTGCTTATTCTATATAAGTAGTTTGAACAAACAGCAAACGTCAATTTTGAGTAAAAGGACCTAAATTGCATACCATTTTCCACACAAAAATTATCAGCACAATGACTTTCAACATTGGTAATGCTTCTAGAGAACCAAATATACAAAGTACTGATAAACAGCTTTGTCATCACAGGAATAAATAATAATACTAATAAATCATCATGGAACCAGATTCAATATTGCCTATTTTAATTTTTTTTTTTCGTTAATTTTAAATCATATCATTTAGTAAATGAGCAAAACTTTCAAATACATCAGACCCTCAATTGCTCATGTTTTGTACAGTTATTTTTTTAGGCAACATAATTTCTTTTTAAGAGATACAAAAAAAATATATATATATATATATATATATATATATATATATATATATATATATATATATATATATATATATATATATATATATATATATATATATAATAACCTTAAAGAAAAGTGAAAGGTTTGCAGTTAAAATGAATTTCATTAGTCTGACTTCTTAAGAGCAATATTTATGTTTTTTTGTGAAAAATAAATAATTAGGTGACTATTACTAAGTTATCATAAGTTGTAAATTCAAAGATTTCAAAATAAAATTACATCAATAATGTTTGTTTTAGAAATAATAACTCAATTAACTTTTCATAATATTATTATCTGTATTGTCAAATGTTTTTTACACAATTCAATTTAGTTTAATTTTCTTTTATAATAACCCTTTTCAATCATTTTTCTTTTATTCATTTATAATTTTCGTTTAGGTTCTTCAAATTCAATTAACTTAAGTCGCATGGTTTTTGGATGGTGGTAGGAAACCAGGGGACCCAGGGGAAACACACGTGAGCATAGGGAGAACATGTTAAGTCTGCACAGAAATGTCAACTGGCTTGGTAAGGACTAGAATCAGTGACATTGTTGCTGTGAGGCAACAGTGCTAACCACTGGGCTGCCAGGCCACCCATCTAGAAAAAAAGTAGGGGTGGAAGGGAAGATTCTTTAAAACGAAGATATAGTATGGATTATTTATGATGACTTAGGAATCGTCTGATTGGTGAATCATGAATTGACCAGCTGTGATCAATAACTAGCATGTGATCATTTCATAGCTTATTAATGAACTTCACTTATTGAATGGCAACACTCTCAGAAATAAAGGTATGTGAGCTGTCACTGGGGTGGTACCTTTTCAAAAGGTACCAATGTGTCCCTAAAATGGTCCATATTAATACCTCAAGGGTTCATATTAGTACCCAAAAAGTACAAAAGTGTTCCTTTTAAAATTTGTATATATTAATATATACTTTTGAGGTACCAATATGGACCCTTTAAATACAAATATGTACCCTTTGAAAAGGTACCCACAGGTACTTTTGAAAAGGTGACAGCTCGAGTACCTTTATTTCTGAAAGTATAAAAAAAAAAACATTAAAAAAGTGTAAAAAAAAATTTCTTTTTAAGTGTACAGAACGTTTGTCTTCCGTATGTGAGATGCATCAAAATCAACACGTTCTTCTTCACAAAATAAATAACAAATGATGTTTGAGGCACTTTCAAGACCATAGTTTATTTCATGGTAATAAGAAAGTATATACATTGGGGTCCCTTTATAGTGAGTGCTAAAGCTACACACATGATTTTCATTCTCTTTTACTGTCCTGACACTTAAAAAAAAGAAAAAGAAAAATCCCCCATGTCTCAAGTCGACTCTTCAAAACAATTGGTGGATTTCCCAGACCATCGCTACATACAATTAACTATTGTGAAGCAAGCATTTACCACCATGGCGAAGAACAAAGAGCAAAACAAAAAAGCATGTGGATTATTGCTATACAAATCAATAAAAATCAACATAATGAACAAACATGATTGAACGAAGGCGTTTTTCTCCAAAGATCTTCGCTGTGTAAAAACAAAATTAAGGCATGCTTGTGCTAACTGTAACATGCCAGGCAAAATGAAGAAGATTGATACAGATTGTATAGTAAGCAGCATGAACACAGAAGAAATTATCTGCTGTACAGATCAAACTAGATTGTGACAATGCAATGTCAATCCATCTTACGTAACTATCGCCAAACTGCTAATGGTAATAAAATACTATCAAAAATATACTGACTCGATAAAATGGCGGAATCTGCTCTTACATATAAAAGTCACATTTTAAAGTCTATATATATATATATATACACACATTTATTCTTTTTTTAAAATCCTATTCTTGTTTAGAGGTGAGAGTAAATGAAATGAAAACCATTTGACATTCAGAACTCCACCGTAAAACCAGGAGGATTTGTGCAAACCTCTAGATAAGTCAATGGAGAAATATTGAAGAAAAACAAGTCTGTTTGCAATGCAGATGTGTTTATTTTAAGGGAGGACACAGATTCTGTGAAAGTAAACTCTTGTGGTCCTGAAATTTATTTTGGGTAGGCATATATGAATGAAGACTGCGGAGCGAGTGAGTAACAAATGTTTTCTGAATGGAACTCCATTAATGCCACAAAGAGCTACAGTCCATACAGCACCTCATTCTGCAACCAATCTCAGGCACATGAAAGTATTGTAAATCAACCTTGAAGTAACGCGAGAGAGGAATCACGACAGCAAATGTGTGAAGAGGTAGAGTTTGAAGCATTTCTGGGATGTTTATGGATTTGAGATGGTGTGGTAGCCAAAAATAAAAACATAACCCAACTAATAAATAACAGACAGACAATCTTAGAACAACCGTTTGTTTTCCTTATATACATTTTTACTTACTAGTCAACAAAACACTGCATTTTGGCCCTGTTCACACCTCGTACAGTTCACCTGAAAATAAAAATGACCTCAATATTTACTTTCCCTCACGTCGTTTTAAACTTTTGAGTTCCATTCTTTAGTTGAACACAAAAGAAGATACTTTCTGGTTGCTGCCATCCATTGACTTCCATTGTATTTTTTCCTCTAATATGGAAGTTGATTGGTGCCAGCAACCAGCATTTTTAAAAAAATATTTTCTTTTGTGTTTAACAGAATATACCCGTCAACGATTCAGTTTTGACGTGATTCTCCTGTATTTTCAACACAATCTGACTGCAATTTGTAACTTTTTCATGTAGTGGCTAATTCGTACGATCTAATTTGAACATTTTAGTACGATTTGCTCATCCCCCAATGACGGTTGGGTTTAGGGGTGGGGTTAGGTGCCAGGCCTCCTTTTTAAAATCGTACAATTTCTTACGGCTGAACTCGTAACGAATTAGCCACTAAACTGCCAAAACGTAAAATACTTTTGTTCTCTCATGAGATCAGATTGGTATTTTACCATTCTATTCCACTGTTTAAATATTGTCAAGTATTTCTCCTGTATTTTTAATATTTCTATGAAAAGTGAGCGTAGCATCAAAGAGCCGATCTCAAACGTGATATAATTGCAAGAGTTGTTCGAGAGAATTATGCTTTCACTTTATATATATATATATATATAAACCATATATATATGGTTTGAAAGCATGATGAAATTAATATTTCACTACCTGAAGTCTTGTTGTCGATCTCAATCCCTGGAGCGTCACGCTGATCAGGTGGTTTGTCTATAAACTGACATACGAGCGCTCAAATGTCGATTCAGTGTCCCTGTATCTGTGGTTACATGCAGTAAACAGTGGTGAGTTCTGTGAACCGATGGCCTTCACAGCCAATCACAGTTTGGGTGTGTTTTTAAACGAACAAATTCACCCAATAATATGTGAACATATCTGTCCTGGCGTGTTTCATTTTAAAAACAAATAATTTTATCTTAAATGAGCATAAACGGTTACGAAAGTAATCTGTGGATTCTTAAAGGGACACCTCTGTTATAAAAAAGAAAAACAGTGGATCAAAATGAGAGATTCATTTCTCTTCACTAAACAACTAAAATAACTTTAATCAATATTTACAGTGAATAAAAAGTGATTTTATGACTTGATTTTATTTCTCGAAGGGTATCTTGTATTTTTACATCCCAATGTTGACAAGTATGAGAAACTCAAAGAAGTTTTGAACAAGTGAACGTTGAGTAAAAGACAGAATTTTAATTTTTGGGTGAACTATACCTTTAAGAGACGTTTTCATCAATCGGTCAAATTTTCTTTTCCTTTAAATACAGGCGAAAACACATTTGACTCTCAAAGTGTAAACACTAATGTAGTGTAACGTCTTTCAACTATTCTCCTAAACCTCAATGTAAATTCATTGAGGAAATGTTCTGCATAGTTTCGTGTCTATTAGAACAAAGTCAGTATCGTTTTTCATCATCTCCTTTCACACTTGTATGTAAACCGTGCAAAAATCCTATTAAACTTTCTGTCCCAACATAGAGCTGTGGAAATAAAAAATAATTCAAGAAATTGATTTTGCATCAAATCGAAAATTTTCTTAACACATTACTGTTCAATAAATTCTGAACTTTGAGCAGTTTTAACAGTAGGTGGCACTCTAGCCTCGTTTATAAACATATACTTAAATGCTCTCCAGAAAGAGTGGCTGTGCATTCGCCGAGTCAGGCAAGTTTGGTCAGTTTACGATAATCAATTTTGTAATTCTTGAAAAAAATTTTGTTATTTAATCATTTTAAGTTCAAGTGGTATTTATAAGGAACTGAAAGCAAGGAGAGTAAATCAAACAGCGCCGTCTCCTGTTAAAACTAAGCTCAGAATCTATTTAGTGAAAAACAATGCATTTTGAATATCAGGGAATCAATTTCTCACCACAGCATTACTGCTTATAGAGACAAAGTAGTCTGGACAAAGGAGATGGATTTAAACACCCAATCTGATTGACCAAAACATAGGTGTAAACAGGGCTTTTGTTTCAGCAGCGTGAATGTTAGCTGTTAGCATTAGCACCCTTTCCACAAATAACTTATCTGTCATTCCAACAGGACTAACTCTGATGACCTTTTTTTGGTTACTTTTCAGCCTTCGTTATTAGACAACAAACGGACAACAAATCGAATTAAAAAATATACACTAGTGTATTTATTTTCAGATTAGCAACGGTTGAGCCGTACCACTGTGCAATGTACACAGCTTCCGTCACAAATGGATCCCAATTAGATGACAAAACATAAATCAAATTCTTGAATATTTTCTAGTCGGTCAATAACCGACGCAGATATCCAAGCATGAAAACATTGAAAAACAAAAACAAGCCATTTTGTGCAGCGATACTAAAACGTAAATCTCAACAGTACAGTGAGAAGGAACCCATCGGCACTCAAAATAAACTGGTCCCCTTTTCCAACAAGAGAGAGAAACCCAATGATAGATCTTGCAGGGAGAAAAGTAAGGGAGGGAGATTTATCTACAAGGAAGGAAAGACACCGAGACTCCACTTTCATCCACCACTTCTCAAACCTGATTTTACCAGTCCAAACGTCATATTTGTCAGAAGTCAAGCTGCTTCATTTGGTGAAGGCGGCCACCACCGCCCACAGCAGCTCATTGGCGTTGTTCTTCATGCTCTCGCCCTCAGGCTCCAGGTCCAGCAGCTGTCGTACTCTCTTCATGGCCAGATCGTATTGGTCATCCAGCAGCGGGGCGAACGCATTCTCCAGGACGTCAGACGAATGGGCCAGGAATATTAGGGCCAGAAGGCGCTTGTCCATTCGGTGAGGGTCGTTCACCCACTTTTCCAGCACGGACTCCTGCACTTTCTTTATAAGGCGCTGCTTTATATTATTGTTGGTGAGGGGGTGTGTGGTCATGTCGAAAAGAAGAAAGTTTTGTTTCTCTGTGGTGAGGACACCTTTCTCCACCAGGTTTTTGGCCAGGCGCTCTCGAACATTACGCAGCTGATAATGAAGCTTTAATGGGTTCCATGTTTCACCTGTGAAAGACAAAACACTTTCAGTATAAAACATTCAGTGATTTGTGGTTCATTTGGCAGAAATGTAGATGAATTTAGCATCCTCCTTATACTAGAAATATTTTATTTGTAACTACAGCATGAAGTCATCTTTCATATAGATGTTACGCATCTTTTCACAAATTGCTCTGCAGCTGTAACCTAAATGTTAAGTATCACTGGGTATATGCAGCAATCCTAAAGGTCATTTCAATACCTTTTTAAAGACCTTCTCAGAATATTTTAAGACCTCATTGCCACTCTAAGTTCTAATCGCTTTCAAAACTTTACCTCCAACTGGTGTGCATGATACATTCATTTGAAACTCCAACTCAATTCTGATTGCTAAAGTAGACATCAGGGTTGTGATTATCTGTAAAACGCTTATTAGACATACATAAATCAAGATTGAGATGAATAACTGCAAAAGTTATCTGGACCAGAAATGTTGAGGATAATGAGGTAAAATATAAATGGATTTTTACATTATAATTGTGTTGCTAATACATTTGTAGCATTTTGAGAGTAACAATTAACACTCATTTTCCTACGACTTAATCTAATGGTCTTAAACTCAATTCCTGGATGGCCGCAGCTTTGCATAGTTTAGCTCCAAACACCTCCACCTCACGCCTGCTCACCCACACTCTATCCCATTCACACGTTACAGCCAATTTAGTTTATACAAATCGGGGAGAGCATGCAAACTTAGAAACCAGCAACCTTCTTGCAACCACGCAATTCACTTAGGCCTTGTCCACATAACCACAAGTATTTTCAAAACCGTAGTTTTTTCTATGCAAAATCTATTGGGTGAGTGAAACCAAAACTTTCTGAAAACTCTAGCCAGGGAGAAGATTTTCTAATACTCAGAAACTTAGTGAGGTCGTGTGGACACTACAACTGGAGTTTCTTCCTCATGGTATTCCTCACTGTTTTCTCCTTTCTGATTGGCCAACATGGCTGAGTTCACAGCAAATGAAAAATATATCATTGAGGAAAATTCTGATGTTTGCAGCAATTAAGTCACGTATTCCTGGTCGCTCGCATTGCAGGATGGTAATCCACCCATTCTTACATTTGCATTGATTTGTATGCAATGTAATTCAGGGCTCGAAATTGCGACCATTTTGGTCGCATATGCGCCCGAAATTTTATCTATGCGACCTCAAAATATATTTGGGAGCATTTCTGCGAGTGCTTAAAATTGTTGTGTGCGACCAGTTTTTACTGCAAAATGTTCACCACATGCGCAGATTTGAGAGACATTCACACAGGATGCATCTCTAAGCTCTTTGTCTGCACCTGAAATGCGAAACGCAGTGCTCAGGAATGGTTTAAAACAGTTGTCATGTCAACTTGCTGCAGTAAACAAACCAAGTCCGTAATGCTTGCTCCGCCTTCGCGCTCTTCTTATTGGCCCACCACTGCTCTAGCACTGAACACGAATGATTGGTTAATATCAGCTGTCAATCACTCAGCGCCTTCTGGCTTGGGATGACAGAGATAGCTACTTACGCGAAAAACTAAAGCGCTTAAGATGAGAATGAGGATAACACTGACAGATTTTGTTTTAGAAACCATGGCATCTAAAGTTATAAATAATGACACATCTTAGTTGTGATCATGTGCTGAATGTTGATCCACCATCTACACTTTTCCAAGAGCGGATAAAAGACTTCCATTGGCTTCAAGTCCGCTATGAAAAGTCTGTGGGATGGAATTTTTAGGTAACTGTTAGCCACATCTAGCACGAGAGCTTCTGTTTAATCCTTCATATAATCACAAGATGCTGTCTGCCGTGCAAGGGGCAGCAATATGTAAAATTTAACACTTTGTACACCATCGCAAACAGGCTTACACTGAATAAGCTAATATCGCTACTCATGAAAAGACCGGTATTGCTATTAACATGACGTATGCATATAATAAGGTACAGTACATGTCAAAAGCATCAGTGCAATATCAGACAGCACTTGTGGGAACAGCACTGTTATACCATTAACAGATTCATTCAAGCAGTGCATGCAGGGCCGGTGAGCGCTCCGTGTATGCTTTAGTCACTCAGTTTTGTTATAAAATGTATTTTCTTGTGATAACGGGATTTCGTTGAGACATATTTTCCTCAGGCATGCATATATATATATATAGCAATAGATTTTTTTTTTGCTTGTCAGTTTGATTACTGTTGATTTCAAATGCAATGAATATGTTTGTAAGAAACTTGTAGTAACGGTGCTCATAACTGGTGGGTGCAACTAAATTTTGACTGATGCGCCTACATTTTTAAAGTTAGGAGCACCGGTGCTACCATGCAAAAAGGTTAATTTCGAGCCCTGTAATTACACAAATATTAAAATTCTGCGTTATGCTTTTATCAGCACCTGTAGGTTCGATGAGCCCTTAACATGTATCACAGTGTGTTTTTGCAGGTTTAATGTGGACAGATTTTTTTTTAATATGGAGGGGAAAACTTCATTAAAAATACCCACAAACGTGTGAAAATGGTCTTAGCCAGAGTCAATTATTTATAAGAGTTTTGATTAAGTTAGATGATGGCTCAGATTATCTAAACATAAAAATGACCATTTACTATTAAATATCCCCCAAAAATATCAACCACCTACTAAAAAATAAAATAAAAAAAAAGATAATTAAAAAATAATTAATAAAAAAAATAAAATATTTAATAAAAATTAATGTAGTGCATCTTTGTGCAAGCTTCCAAGCAAACAGTTTTTCCAAGTCTAGACACTGATAGAGGTCATTACATCATTTATAGTTTTGAAAGGTTTCAAGATTGCAGCAGCTTTACATCTTTCATAAGTTGCTGGCATTCATTTTAAATGCTTCAGTCTGTTGAGTGAGTGCAGCAGCTCAGTCGGTCAGCTCCTGTGCTGAAGCTGAGGAGAACAGACATCTCAGGATCAAAAAGCAGGCGGTGCTGGAGCATTTGCTAGTCATCAGCCTGCCTAATTTATGGCTCTGATATAATTCTGAGCACATTTTATCCACTCTCTGAATGAGGACGGCAGCTTCTTCTCTCAGACGCTTTGATCTCACCCTTTGGCTCTCCAAAAGGAGACGTATTCAACTGAGCTCAGAGCCGCAGCAGGTACCAGAAATCACACTTCTCCAATTTAGTGCAAAAGGATCTTGAACCCAGCATTTTGATCAGCACCGGCCACTGTATATTTTTGATAGTAGCAGGGCTTAATTTGTGCCGGAACACGCTGTATCCCGTACCTCTGAAATCTGATCTGGCAACTGATTTAACCGATTCCCTTCCTCAACCATCCGCTGTTCACTTTCACAACTCCCCAACTCTTCTCACTTTCATCCGCGACAACCCCCCGCTCTTCACTTTTGTCCTTCGTTCGCGAAACGCCGCCGCCATCCCACACCATCTTTGTTTATCTTTGCCATGATGACAGTAAATATTTTGCTAGATATTTTTCAAGACACTTCTATACAGCTTAAAGGGACATTTAAAGGCTTAACTAGTTTAATTAGGTAAACTAGGCAGGTTAGGGTAATTAGGCAAGTTATTGTATAATGATGGTTTGTTAAGTAGACTATCAAAAATATATATAGCTTAAAGGGGGGCTAATGATTTTGACCTTAAAATGTTTTAAAACATTAAAAAAAACTGCTTTTATTCTAGTCAAAATAAAACAAATAAGACTTTTTTCCAGAAGAAAAAATATTATCAGACATACTGTGAAAATTTTCTTGCTCTGTTAAACATCATTTGGGAATTTTTTTTTGTTTAAATGCAAAGGGGGCTTATAATTCTGACTTCAACTGTACGTAAGACTTTTTAATATTGATGAAAGACTGAATTTATTACATCAAAATTACAGTAAAAAATGCATTAAAGTTAAAAATAACTCCAAAGATTTGTGCAAAACTCACCACTGAGTAACTCTATCCAGCTCTGCACGGTTTCAGGCGGTTGGGTGTCTTTTATATGTTTCAGAGCCTCGTCCAGCAGCACATCCCCTGTTGGAGCATCAGACTTGCATATAACCTAAGAAAAAAAAAAGAACTGAGAGTCACTGAACACATTAAAAATGCCTAATGCATGAAAGCGCAGCTGAAATCAAAGCAAAGGACTCATGAGGGTAAAATCAAGCGAAGAAGATGAACTACTTCAACTGAAGACCAAAGCATTTGAGCCCCTATATTAAATGTAATGCATTTTCCAGGCATACATCAGAGCCAGCTTTAATAATAAAAGTTCTCACTTACAGCAGCCAAAACCAACCGCAAAAAAGCATGGCCTTCTGACACACAATTGATATCAAAGAGCTCCCTCTTGTGGTAAAAAGTGTTCTGCACAACTGTACATTTATGGACATCTGAGCGCTAAATTCTACACAAATGACTAGGAACAATAAATAGGAGCAAATGGCCAAACTACTTGCTATACAATGATAAAATATATAAACAAAAAAATAAAAGTTTGAGACATCACGCAGCATAACAAGCTGTTTTTATGTCTAAAACTCAATGGAAGTGAATGAGACCCAAAGACTCAAGCAATAAGGCTCCAATATTTCCGAATATATTGTTTGATCCCAATTAGCTCTGTAGCGAAACACACATCAGTGTCCCCAAGATTACCAGGAGTAATGTTCACCAAACTAGGGCTAGGCAATTTGACCAAAAATCAAAACCTTGATTAACTGAACATTAACACATTCATTCTTTTCGTCTTAGTCTCTTTACTAATCTGGGGTCACCACAGCGAAATGAACCATTAACTTATCCAGCATACGTTTTACGCAACGGATGCCCTTCCAGCTGCAACCCACCACTTGGAAACATCCATACACACTCGTTCACACCCATACACTACAGACAATTTAGCTTACCCAATTCACCTGCACCGCATGTCTTTGGACTGTAAGGGAAACTGGAGCACCCGGAGAAAACCCACACGAACACGAGAAGAACATGCAAACTCCTCACAAATACGCCAACTGACCCATCGCTCACATATTACAAGCGAGAGATTTTTTAATGAAGGGTGCATTACTTGTTTTTGAAATAATTGAAGCAAGCACGCATCTTCTATTAACATTAAACAACTGAAATGAAAACACACATCGTCTAAAATCAAGCAACTTTTTATCTTATAAAAAAAATCAAAAATAAATAACTTGCACTTTTAAAAAACAAAATAAATTTTCAATGTTTTTCAAACTAAAAGAAAATAAGCAGCATCTCTTCTGAACGTAGTGCAAAATAAGGCTCAAGACAGGTCCATTATCCTACTTGACCAGAGATCAGATGTGGCTGCAGAAGTAGAAATCATCCTTAGAGCAGCGTCACGTGACTCCACACGATAGGGAAAGTGAGAAATTGCCCTGGAATTTTTTTTTATCGATTATAAGTCCTGAATGCCCTATACCAAGCTACTGTGTTCAGCTCTGAATCAAGCATTTCAAAGTGTTAGAGACTTTGGTCAAAGCCACTCAGAGCAACTAAACTAATCTATAACTCTAATGCTAGTCTAACCTTTGATAAGGAGCAGGATGAGTGGACAGGTAAAATGTTTGCAAAGTGAGTTTAATGTATTTAGGTTGAATAGAAAACAATGTTCATCATCAAACTAGGGAAAGACTGAATCTAAAATGTGTATTGAAGTAAGTGAAAGTTAATGAAGTAAGTGTTGTAGTGTTGTTTTCTGCAGCATGTGTTGAGCCTCAATTCACTGGGCAGAGTCTAGGTCTGATTTTCAGCCAACTTGAGGCTCTTGCTCTTTTGAACCAGTTCCAATTTCAGCCATGCATTGTTTGTTGTTTTGAGTTTGTGCATTGTATAGGAAGAACTGAACTGATCAACAATCAGATGATTTTCGATGTCTAAAAAATATATATTTATCACAGTTGAATCAGGGCTATGAACCCTGTTTGCGTGCCCTCTCCCTGCACCAACATGAAAACAGAGACAGACAAACACTTCTAGGTTCACCGGAATGTGATGGTGCGATATTAAAATATATATTCCTAAACCAGTGTTTTCCCTACCATTGTATTAGAAGTTGCCCCACTCCCCTTGAAAGTAAAGTTAATTTATTTTAGTCTCGTAATAGCTCCAGATCACAACACAAGACATTTGTGGTTCTTTTACTAAAGAATATGTAAATAGTTTGTTCTTATATTAAAGAAATTGTTTTTAATAATCTAATTTACATGATGACGTGTCATTTCTGTCTCTACATGGTTACGCATTTACATCTCTGTTCATCTTTGTTTAAAGTGGATCTCTGCTCCAATCACACACAAGTGAGCAAACTCTCTCTAGTGGTGAGAGAATACATGTTGAAAAATATGTTGTGTCGATCACACGCAAATCAGAAAAAATATATTTGTGCATTCAGCCAAAGTCTGTGTGAACTAGGTTATGTGCGTTTTATCAATTGTAAAAATTCTAATAAATGCACATCTGTTGTTATAAGTTGAATCCTTTCTATTAACATGTTGAAATCCATTAAACAACGCAAACAACATAGTATTTATTTCAAACATTTGTTTAATATTAATCCAGTCTAAAATATGACAGAAAAAGCATGCTCTAATTATTTTGTTATTTTTATTTTAGGCTAGTCTAAACATCAAACTTTTATTGGCCTATCTAATTTATGATGAGAACACAAAACAAAAAGCAGCTCAGTTTTACTTGCATAGAAAGCTGGTAAACAAATGCAAAGGAATTATAGTTCCATAATAATATATAAGACTAGTACTGATTACATTGCATAAAATGTCATTTTATTACTCTAAATCACCAAATAATCTGTTTATAAACAGATATTTCACAAATATTGTAGCTAATTTTGAGAAAAGAGGGTGTAAAATAAGTTATTTGAGGAAGCAAGGAATTACAAGTCATACAAGTTTTTATTAACATGAGGGAGAGTAAATGACAACATGATTTTTGGGTGAACTATGCCTTGAATGGCTTGTAGAACATAAACACTATCAAGGGAGGGATGCAAAACAGGAAACCTCTCCCAATAGTGTGATCATTTCCAGGGCTCTGAACAGTCTGTCTTACCTTCCGGGCAAGCAGGCTTTTCCTCCTCATGCCACAGGCCTCCAGCTGCAGTCTCCCTCGTAATGCCAGCTCAATGAGCATGCAGCCCCTCAGGCCAGACGAAATGCAGTCGTTCCAGAAGGAGGTGTAACCCTTACACAAAAACAATACCAACGGATTAAGTATACATGCAGTTGAGGGCTATGCACTTTAGAGCTTCAGTGTAGCTGAAATGAAGACTGTTCCAGTTACATTGTTACACGAGGATCTAGTGACTGTGTGTGAAACTGCATTTCTTAGAAAGCGTGTCCTAAATACACTGTAAAAAAATATCAGTTAATGAACAGTGTTTTCTGTTTATTTATGGATGTCAAATGCATCATGGGCATTAATCTTCACTCTGTCGCCATTTGACGTTAAAAATATAACTCTAAAGCTTAAAGCAACTTTTACTGAAATTTTAGTAGTTGGAAACATTATCATGTATAAGAGATAATATAGAGAGAAATAAGTGTGTAAAATAACAATAAACGTACTGGCAGATTTTTACAAGGTTTTTGTAGCATAATTTAGAACACCAGCCCAGACAATAAATCACTTTAAATTAATAAAATCGTCAATAAAAGTCCTTTTCTAACTTTTCAATGTTAGAAGCTGTTGGACGAAAGATTAAGGCACCATGATGCAATCCAAAAGCATAAATACACAGGCGAAAATAAAAAACGAATGACAAAATGTGAAAAACTGCTAATATACAGATATTGTTTTACAGCGTGCATGTGGCATGATGCCACGACACACGTTAAATGGCGTCTTTTCCCTGTTAAAATTAGTTTTTGTCCTAATCATCCATGATGCTGACACAATAAATTTCTATTTTAGAAATGGTTTCTATTTCTGCTATGTCAAAACAGCATAAAAAAACAGCATTGCATTACAGCATAAACTAATATGACAATGCACACCTCAGGTGCTGATTATGTGCTTTATTCAATGTTAAATGCAACCAATCTAAGTCTGGATATTATTTTGTGTGACATTTATTACCATACCAGCCTATAAGCAGGGGTGGGCAAAGTAAGTCCTGGAGGGCCAGTGTCCTGCACAGTTTAGCTCCAACACTAATCAAACACACCTGAAAAAGCTAATCAGTGTCTGCAAGATTACTAGAAATCTATAAGCAGGTGTGTTTGATTAGAGTTGGAGCTAAACTATGCAGGACACCGGCCTGCCAGGACCAACTTTGCCCAACCCTGCTATAAAGTAAGCCTAGAGGAGCAGCAGATAGTTCACCTCAGCTCTTAAAAATAAAATGGCAAACTTTTAATTTGAAAATTAAAGGTAGAACTGTGACTAACCAATATCAGACACTCAGCCTTTAATAATTAATTCATTCATTTTCTTTTCGGCTCAGTCCCTTTACCTTTAATAATGTTAGAGGTTTATTATGTACTAATTCGATTCTAAACCTTACCATAACATCTAGGCATGGGACGATAACTGGTTTCAAGGTTTTAAAACCAAGCAAGTCAAGGTTTTTCTGGTTTATGTGAATGTTCTTGTGTGTTTCTTTGAGTTAAGAAGAAATCATAAGAGTTATGAGTTATGAAGTGTTTTTAAAAGTGATGAAGAGAGCAGAAGTCAGAAGTTGAATTATTTAGCCAGATATGTTTACTGCTCTAAAACATTATAGATGTTTCTTAAAATAAATATATATATATATTTTTTTTTAACCAAGACAGTAACCGCAGTAACCGTAATACTATGACAAAGTGAAACCGTGATATTTTTATGCAAGGTTATTACACTATCAGAAACTTATACCGGCCCATGCCTAATAATATACCAAATAGGCTGGTATTTAAATGTTTCTGTCCTGTTGTGTTTGGTGCAAACAGTCAAACTGCTTGTCTCTAGAATCTTGTCAGGTTACGTTTAGTTAGGACACGATGTTAGACATGATGACATTCATTAAATTTCTTCTCTGGCCATTCCAGTTTAGCTTGTTGTAATCTGCTATTTGAATTTCAGTCAGTGCCTAATTTGAATTCATGAACTAAAAAAGTAAATTTTGCCCAACAGCATGGGATAGTAAGTCTGCTGTGTCGTACTAAGCAGTGTATGAAGTGAGCGATGGATTTCTCCAGCGTTAACAAGGCCTGCTTTGTGCAGTTCCAGCCTCCGTCCCAGTGGCCACTGCTAAGAAACAACAGGCCTCTTTCAAGGTACTGGCAACACAGGCAACACTCTGAGGTGGAGCACAAGCGCAAACAGCCATTGATAGAAGCACAATGTTCTATCATCCAGTGTTTTTGAAGAACTGTTTACTTTGCACTGTTTTCAAATAGATCTGATTGAAAGAGGATAGGACTAGAGGTCTGTGCCCTTGACGGAGACACAACAGAAATGCTAAATAATCAAACATTTTAACAAGTCATGTTCATTGAAATGCAGAGCTTCATGTAAATGCGAACAAATTCATTTTCTTTTACATTATTTATAATAGTGGATAATATAATTAATAATTTAGATTTTTATTTAAAGTTTAAAAGAGAAACTATGTAACTTTGGTACACTTCCACAAACTTTTCTTTTAACTGAACATGTATAGTCTACTCAAAACGCAAAATTAATTTTCATTGATAATAATACTAAATATTACAACATTATTATACAATTGATAATTATAGAGACCCCCTCATATGATTGTAAAGTGCTTTCCGCGTATGGTCACAATAAATGTGCTATATAAATACACTTTACATGCTATTAAATATACAGATTAATCAAGTGGAAATTCTGTCAAATATCCAAGCTGCTTTTTCATAAAACAACTGTGCATAATCAACTGATGTTTTGAAAGATCTGTGTTCATTTTAAAAAGTAAAATGTGATTTATACATTTACTTTAAAATATATTTTATCCTTTAAAAGGTCTACATCACCTATGGAAGTATGTTTCTACCACAGAACAACAAAAAAGTAATCATATTGCTCAAATTTTTGACTTCTTATGACATTTTCCTTAACATTTTAAGAATTGCCAAGTGTTTTTTTTTTTTTTTGCTTAAATTGCACCTTTAATCATTGTATTTGTTAGTTTGTAAACTTTGGTAATTTAGTTTAAAGCTGACAAAAAAGGTAAAAAGTTTGAGGTTAGAAAAAAATATTTATTATATACTTTAGGGAAAAAAAGGTTTCCATTAAAAATGAAAGAGATAGTTCACATAAAACAAAAATTTACTCAATACCTACTCTTCCTTAAGTGATTACAAACCTTTATGAGTTTCTTTATTTTGTTAAACACACAAGAAGATATTGGGCAATGCAGTGGCGCAGTAGGTAGCACTGTCGCCTCACAGCAAGAAGGTTGCTGGTTCGAGTCTCGGCTGAGTCAGTTGACATTTCTGTGTAAGTGTGTGAACGAGAGTTTATGGGTGTTTCCCGGTAATGGGTGGCATCATGCGTAAAAACATGTGCTGGATAAGTTGCCGGTTCATTTCGTGGCCCCAGATTAATAAAGGGACTAAGCCGAAAAGAAAATGAATGAATGAATGAATGAATGAAAAAGATATTTTAAAGAAAGTTGGAACCTGAACCCATCAATAGTATCTGGATGCAGCCTTGATGATGCAAGCTGAGATTGCATTACTCAGCGATGCAATGTCAGACACAATGCGCTAAAATTGAGCGAGTGACATCACTGTGAGGGGTAGGGTTAGGGGTGGGGTTAGGTGAGCCCATTAAAAAGCATTGGATGCAGCTCAGATTGCACTGCACCAGGTCTGCACCCAGACCCATCTCGAACCCACTGACTCCCATAGTAGAGATAAACCAATCTGATGGAAGTCATCAGTTACAAGTTTTTATTATTCTTTAAAATAATGAATGCATGTTTAACAGACAAAAAAAAATTAAATAAATAAATAAACTTTGGTTTGGTTAAGGTCAAGTAAATAATGGCAGAATTTTCTTTTTGGGAGGACTATTCCTTTATACCAAAAATAAAAACTTAGCTTACACTGATTCTGTTTATCACTGTAGCCTCTCAAAGTGCAAGAGGTATTATTCAAAATAATCTCACTACAGTAGTAGTACTGACGTTTTATGATAACCATTTATGATTCTTTGTTTATTTCCCTGCCTAGACAAAACAAGATATGATGAAAATATGAAAGTATTGAACAATTGCACTGAAGGCATGTGACAATATTGCTCCATTAAACAACAGCGTTCAAGCTCAGATGTTTAGTTATGGTTTTCTTGTTTACACTGTGCTGTTACGAGAGTGAACCAGATACTTAAGCTCTGACAACAACATAGGAGAGCTCACTAAAAGCTGACATAAGCAGACACTAGCAGAGACAGCTGTAATTAAAGACAGAACTGTTTGGAGAAGACCAACCACATGCAAAACAGTGGCCTTTATTGTACTTTATCCATTAAATGTGTACTTGATGGAGTAAGGTCACGGTCAAATATTCATCAAATAAAAATAGAGATGAGTTCACTATGATCAAGACCCTTAAAACTTGATACACTAAACAAATTGTACAACATTTGCAACTTTCAGAAATCAATCTAAGTTGCTGAATGAATTTGAAACACCTAAACATAACTGTGAAAGAATCTGAACCAATCTACACGTCAAACTACTATTGTGTAAAAAAAAAGCAATAATTCGACAGTCTGAGATGCCAAGTGTAAGCAGTTATGTTTCAAATAGATTTTAAAAATTCATCAAAAAGCTGTCCTCAATACCAATCATGCAAGCGTACTTTCACCCATTAAAGCTCACACCTTATTTGCAAATAAAACAAGACAAGGACACTGCTAGACTGCAAATTGACAGCAAAAAACCAAGACATTGGCTTAAAAAAACACCAATTTTCTGAAATATACTAATCATTTTGTACCCAAAAGCCACTGTTGCTGAGAAAACAAAAGCAACAGGCAGTAATTCAACATGAATGGGCTGCAAAGAGATGCGTCTTCAGTAACAGTGCCTTGTCTAATGCCTGCCTGTTCAACCAAAAGGCCAGAAAATGAGGTAGGTACAATACACTACCTATTATAGCTCTGAATAAGGGTTAGCCAAAACACCAAACTGGCTAATTTTAAACTTCTCTCTTTATTAAGAACAATCATAGTAAACATCCTGCTTAAAGGGAAGAAGCTCACAATGGTGGAAAAGACATGGCAATATTTAATAATTCAAAATATTGTGATAATGAATTTGCACAATAATGATTTTGTGAAGAGGCTGCAAGGTGGTGCAGTGGGTGGCACGCTCACCTCACAGCAGGAAGGTCACTGGTTCAAACCTCGGCTGAGTCAGTTGGCATTTCTGTGTGGAGTTTGCATGTTCTCCCCGTGTTCTGTGGGTTTCCTCCGGGTGCTCTGGTTTCCCCCACAAGTCCAAAGACATGAGCTATAGGTGAATTGGGTAAGTGTATGTGTGTGAATGGGTGTGTATGGATGTTTCCCAGTGATGGGTTGCAGCTGGAAGGGCATTCGCTGCGTAAAACATATGCCGGATAAGTAGGCGGTTAATTACGCCCCCAGTTAAGACCCCAGATTAATAAAGGGACTAAGCTGAAAAGAAAATGAATGAATGATTTTGTGGACACATTGGGAGAAAAAAAACAACTCAAAATAATAAAAAGTGTTTGAGTGCTTTTTAAGAATTTTTAATTGTATTTGTAAAACATTCATAACAGCTAGATGCTTGTACATTTAATTGGTTAGCCTAATAGTTCAAACATGAACATTTTCACATGTTAATTTAGCCTACTGCATGCTGAATTATTGAGTGATAATTCGGTGACTATTTGTACGGCTGGGGACAGTTGCACTACTAAATATTTAAGGCAGCTTACATTGAAGAGCCACAGCCTTATTTTCCTCCCAAATCTAGCATTTTGTTTTTAGTTTATGAGGAAGACTTTAATTATCTTTCTTTTTTAGTGTTTTGTGTTAATTGTGTTTAGCAAATAAAATGATAATTTCTTTATGATGGAGTTATTTTACCTGTTTTTTTTGCTTTCATGTGTAGGATATAAAAAAATTATGATAACTTCATGTGTATTTTGCAAGCATAACCATTCACGACTATGTAATATGTAAATTTAACTGGTCGTTTAATTGTCATATGCCAGTTATAGCCTATAAATGCTATATATATATATATATATATATATATATATATATATATATATATATATATATATATATACAATTTTAAAGTGGTGTAATGATTTAAATGCTTCGTATTTATGACCAACAATCTACGTTTTGCCTTAAGAACATGTGGTGAATCGAAGTACAAATTTTGTTACAAACTAGCTAGTAGCTACTAAGCCTCTAGTGTGGACTTTACATTCTAGTTTAAGAACACTGTACAACAAGGCTCCAAAAGTTAGTTACCATTTGTAAGCATTTAAACTGTTTAAATTAAGCTAATAACTAATACAAATTCGGTTGTATTTTTTTACCAATAATTTTATGGGAAAAAAACATTTTATCGCTGTACATAATTTAATTTAAATATTAGATCCGATTACATATAGATAAATGGCTGCAACAGCAGGAGTTTTGTGTTCTACTAAATACAGCCAATGATTTGACGGAGCTTAAAGCAATTTCTTTGTTCTTAGTCCTGGTTATCGTCATACACTGGACGTCTTCATTATTTGAATAACTTGATTGCATGTTATCAGCTCATTATTTTAAGTTTTAAAGTGTGTACTTCAGAGAATAAGACTTTCAAAATACTGTGCAGTGCCGAACTCCTCCAGGACTCCTTTAGAAAAAAAATGCAAGTGATTCGATCTGAAACTGATCTTATCTTCATGTTTCATAAAATGCAAATAAACTGTACCAGAATTTGAGTCCTAAAACCTTTATCACAGTTTTTAGCTCAAGTTTCCTTTTGGATAATGAATGTGTTTGGCTGGCTGCAAACTCAGAAGCAACCAGACAAAGATTGTGTGTTCTGTATTGTTCATTAAAATGGTACTTCAGCTTTTCCTGAAGTTTGCGTCCACTAAATACATCATCAGCCTGTGTCAGAACACTTACACTTCAGACATGAACATGGCCAGAATCATTTGCGGATTACAAATAATAAATAAACACCTTTTCTCATCTTCTGAAAACAAATTAAGATATTTGTTGTGAAATCTGAGAGCTTCCTCATCCTCCACAGACAGCTATGGTCCAAAGATGTTCCAAGTCCAGAAAAGGAACCAAAAACATTGTCAATCATTCCACCTGTCCTTTAACTGTAATCAAACTTGGCTCCAATGACACTTTTGTCAGGAAAAAACACAACAAAAACAACTATATATCTGACTGTTATTTATTTATTTATTTTACTTCTCTATCACATCTGGTCAGGGTAAGTTTACTATGTACAGTATGATGTATTGCCATAATTCAGCAGCACAACACGCATTGGCTGTATAGCCCATAGTAAAAACACACCCTTATCTGATACAGAAGAGATTGGTGAACAAAGTTGTTCCAGGGGCCTGTACCATGAAGCCAGATTAGCTGGCTAGCCGGTAGAGCCAAATACTGAAAAAATCTGACATTGCGATATTTAGTTTTTCTGTGATATGTATATTGAGATATGAATATAATCTCTCACCAGATGACTTGAACAGCTCTATTTGGAAATATTTCATTCATTTAGATAAATTTAAATGATCAAGTATTTTTTTATACAGTGCATCTGCTTTCATTTGGATAAATTACAAGCAAAAAGAAAAGGAATAAGCAGTGCTTTACGGTTTTCTGGGGAGTTTAATAGTATTCAGGTCCAGAAATTGAACAATCAATTTTAAAATACCATTGTCATCATTGTATAAATTATTTAAAAAAATGAAAATATCTTTTTTCTTAATAAATAATCTATTCCTGCACTGTGACTATTGCAGATACACACATTGTGATATCAATGCTCAAACGATATATTGTCCAGCGCTACTAGCCGGTTAAATTCAGTTTTGTTTGCATCAATATAGGCTTTTAGGTACCATAAAGGCAGCTCAGTTCAACTCCTGCATAATACCATGGCAAACAATGAGTGATTAAAGTCAAGCTTCCTGCACATTACTTAAAACCCAAGACTGGTGCAAAATAAACAAACTTACAGCTCTAAGGTACAAGCCCCAAGAGCTTTGTATGATTACAGTTGAACCACTAAAGTCACACGCAATGTTTTCACAATGTTTTGTTTTCTTTTCTGGACTTTGAACATCTTTTGACCATTGCTGTCTGAGAAGGCTCAGAGAGAACCTCCTAATCTGTGTTCTGAAGATGTACAAATGTCTCAGGCAAAATTGAATGGCACAAGGACTTGTTTTTAACATAACTTTCATTTCTGTGTGATCTTTTAAAAACTCAATGTGTCACCAGAAGCCTCTGCTATTAATTTTGTTTACTTGCATTTTACAAATATCCAATGTCACTGGTTTTCAGTAAAATGTTCTTTTAGGATATACTGAAGAAACAAAGTCACCTACATATTGGGTGGCTTGAGGGTCAGTAAATAGTACATTTTAATTTTCACTTGGTTCTGGATGATCTGACCCTTAATAAGACACACTGTAATAAAGATTACGCTGGACTTGTTCCTAAACAAATATTGTTTTGACTATACAGGCTGTATCTGGATCTACATGCTTCATACGAATGTGAACGTGGGTGTTAGGATAATGGCCTACATCATGCGTCTTGAACAACATTGTATCTACCAAAATGCAATACACAAACGGCATCAAACTCATTGTGTAGACAGCGACGAAAATTAGCTTTATGTAACTTACATATGCCAATATCAGTGTATGCCAATCTGGTTACCATATGGTACATGAAACAATATATGTAATATTAAGACATTTAAAGGTATCGTTCAGTTTTTTAAACTCTGTTCACTGAACTACGTTTTGTTTTGAGAGTCTTGAGGGTCAAAGAGAGAACTTGGAGCTGCAGTGCAAGTCAAGCTAAATGCTATTGCATTACCGAAAACATGTGGCTTGATTTTATCTCAAAACGTCACCAACATATAAACAAAATATAATAATCATCAAAGTTTAAGAATTCAGCTTCTTCTATTTTTGAAAGAGCTAATTTATAAGCATCGAAATGAGCGACAACTGTGGGTGATGGTGAGAGATAATATGCTAACGTTAAGCATCGACTATAGAAACAACAACTGAGAAAATAAAGCAAAACCACAATAACCTCTCGGTCTTTCAAGCCCAACAGCAGCACTTCCTCCATCAAGGTGAGTCTGGTTTCTTTGGAGTCGCCGCTGTCATCGTCCTCCGGCTCTTCTCCGCGACGAGGCTCGTAATCCTCGTCACCGGATCCGCGTTCTCTGTCTGCGGCCGCAGCGCTGCGCGAAGCCTCGGTGCGTCTTTGCACCAGGCCGGAGCTCCGCTGGGTCAAAGTACTCATCTCTCTCTCTCTCAAACACACTAAAACAAAACCTCCGTCCCAGACAACCCCTGTCTGAGAACACACTGCCTTATTCAGTCCGATGCATAAATAATTTCCGGGGCGAAAAGGGAAAACGAAGGTGTATATCGGGATTTGTTTTGGAAAGGGCCCCCTCGCGATCCCTACCGCGGACCGTCGCCGATTCCGTCAGGTTTAATATGGCGACCAGTCCAGACGTGACGGGAACAGCAGTGGATGTGGCATCCCAGTACTCGGGTTGTGTCCCAAAACCTGCCGAACTACATACCGAGACTACATTTTTCATAATATTTAGGTAGTATCTATTTAATTTAATTAACTAGCCCATTTTGTTAATTAACACTGTAAGCATTTTACTAAATTAAAGTGAAATATGAAACGTTAATATTAATATTCAAACGTATTAATTGTGGCTAATAAAAAAAAACACAATTAAATATATATATATATATATATATATATATATATATATAATTATATCATTTAAATGTCCTTTACAATAAAAAAAATTACACACACACAAATCAAAATCCTACTAAAACAACAAAAATGCTTTGTTAATATGCACATTCAAGTAGAATAACAATAAAATAAACATAGCAATAAAACACTGATCATGATTGCAAAGTACTGATCTATTTTTTTATTTCAATCATATTTTGTGGCCATAAAGTGAAAGGTACATATTTCTCAAGTGAGTATAAAAAGTATTTGCTACTTTTACATGAAAATAATAATCTCAAAATCAATGTTCCAAAATAAAGCAATATTTCATACACATCCAAAGCCAAACTCTCATAATATGAACTTTAAAGTTAGTTATAGAAAAATATTTTAAAAAATGATACAGTAATACGTTTCTGTAAGTTTCAAGTTCACCTTGTCAAACACAAGAGCAGTGATGAACTGAAGTGAACAGAACCAGACTCACATCTGACTGTTCAAGTAACAGTGACTGACTGGCAAAGAGCAGTAGTGCAAAACAAAAGTGAAAAATGCAAACAAAAACACAAAAATGGTCAGGAAACTGCTTTCTCCACACTTCTGCCAGCTGTTCAGTGCTTTCAGGAGCTTACATCAGTTTCAGTACATTACAACAGCAGAAAAACACAGAAAGTGATGCACAACAGACACTGAAGACAATATGTGACTGAAGTGCCTGTTAATTTGGGGCAGTAGTTCTGTAGGCACCGCAGAAAAACAGAAGAAAATGTGCACAAACGCAGATACTGTATGACAATAGCTTATGTTTCAATAGTTACAAGGATTAGCAGTTTATGATGATTTTTTTATCTTACCGTATAAAATTATTTCTAATTTATTTAGTTTTATACACATACATTTATTGTTGTTAGATCCATACATATATAGAGTTCCACACAAACACCACTGTTGTATCTGTGTAAGCACTGACTAAAATACCCATGGTGATGCTGATGCTTGGTTGATCTATATCATCACAAAAAAAAATAAAAAAATGAATGGTTTGCATCACCAATATCATGTCCTTACAATTTCATTGTAATAAAGTTAGTAATATTTGTTTGTGCTCCTTTGTTCTAAAAGTGTGAACTGATCGCATAATGTTCTAAAAATGATAGCAGCTAAGGCTGAATGAAATAAAAGACAGCCTATTGATGGACAGATCCGATTCACACAAAACAATGTGTGTTTTGCAATAGAGCACTGAAACTGACGTGTGTCGTTCTATACATCCTGTTTTCATATAATGGTCTTAAAAAAATCTAAGTTCTTCTTCACACATTCAACATTTATATAACTGAAGGTTGACAACATTTCAGAGTTCTCCCTGCCAGAAAAAGCTGAAAACAAGCTGGATTGAGCTTTTCTATTATTCAAAATAAGCTCATTCTGATCACTGTAATGGAATACTGTATGGAATGTTACTTGGTATCGATTTTAAATGTTTAGTAATCCAAAAATGAACATTTGCTGTTGATATACTGACCCTCATGCCATCTAAAACGCAAAGGTGACTTTTTTTCCTTCAGTAGAACAATGAAGATTTTTAGCTCAACCTATGGTACTTGCTGATTTTTAAAATGCATGTCAACAGCTAACAACACTTTGAGGGTGAAAAAAAAACATATATAGGCAAAACATTTAATATCTGTGGCTCCATGTGAAGCATAACTGAATGAAAAACAAACTGAACATTCTTTCCATATCCTTGAAAAACCAACCTGAGTGCCTCTGGAGCACAAGTTCCCTGTGCTTAACAAATCATCAGTAATCAGTAGGATAAATTTAGATTTTCCCGTATATGTTTTTTTAACATTTCCAAGTCCAGGAAGCTGTAGACTTACACTTTAGTAGTCACCAAGGACCACATTATTACCAGGTAAAAATGTTCTTATTTAGAAAAAGGGTGCATCTTGAATGATCTGAGGGAGAACAAATTGACAACAGCTATTCCGATATCCCTTTTAAGTAACACTTTACACAATGGAAAGCCTGGATGTTCAAGCCTGTATCCTGTTCCTGTTTTGTGATGAGCAAGAGGAAAATACTAGGTACTGTTCTTAAAAAAACTTCCACAAAAAAAAAAGTCTACATCCTGTCTAAATTTTCATGTTATGTTTTCAATACAGTAGGGCACATTTAGTTGAACAAAACCCTGTTTTACTTCAAAAAAAGACCCGCTTTAGCACCAAAGGCACTTTATACACCTTCAAGGCCACTTTAATCCTGTATCTACCTTATAATATACTTATTAAATAATATAACCATTAATGGATGGAAACAGATTTCCTATTAAACCAAACTCTCAGCCTAACTGGTCTCGTCCTCCTGATTGGCCAGATTATCGGCCACCATGAGGCTTTGCATTAGACCTGTGGGAATGATGGGTTTGAAGGAACGGTTGCGGCTGTAAGTGAAGGGGAACGAGGATGAGAGTCGTCCTGAGGAACCGAATGAGGGCAGCCGATGGTGAAGAGGTGGAGGGTGATCGGGTTGAGTGGCCAGCGATGGGTCTCTCTGCTCCAGCACACGCTTCAGATCCTCCACTTGACTCAGCAGCTCCATCAGCTTGGTCATGATGGCCACCGAGCCTCCACCCATGATGTGCACTTCAGGGATCCAGCGTAGGTAGCGCTGCATCCAGATGCGGACAGACGGTCCGTCCAAAGAGGGCAGCAGGAGCCCGTGATAGTCCAGGGGACGCTGCTGCCAGGACTCGTAAAACTCTCTGCTGGCGACGACGGGAGAGTCTGGAGAGCCCATCCAGCGACTGATACGCTTCACTCGGAGCATCTTCTTAAGGCTGTCGGTCTCGTCTTTGAAGAAGCCTTTCTTGGTTGGGGTTTTGAAAGCTGAGCTGGGCAAGGATAACTGCCTTTGGTGCTATAGATTTGAAATCAAAATCAATTAAATATGCATGCAAAAACACACTGTGAATTATTCAAAAAGAAAAGCAGAGTATAATTCAAACAAATTAAAAGCAAAAAGAAACAAAATGGTGTAAGATGTCACTTGTAATTTCCCTCTTGACTGTAGATGTCACCAAAACACTGAAAAACTCTAGCAGTGCATAGCTATGATCTTATTACATCTGACCTTTTATCTGAACACACACATTTTAGAGATTTTTCTGACATACTAAAAATGTATTTGTTTTCATTTTGAACCAAAAGGTTAAAGTGAAATAAGATCTTTGTGTGTTTTTATGTCAGGATGAAATAGAAGTTTTTGTCCTTCCCTATTGTGACATTTATTCAAGTGCAACTGATTACTGAACAATGTGTTTTGTGGTTTATTAAAGTAATGATGTGCATAAATGCTAATACATCCTGCAGTGCTTCACAGAGACTGATAAACCGACTATATTAAATGTTTTTCGCAGCAGTGGTTTTTGGTATCATTAAGAATCCATTATAGTTAGCTTCCACTTTTTTCATTATAATTCTAGTTCATTTATCAATTTTATTGTGTGTTTGTCATTTAGATTAGTTCATTTTTGTGGTTTATTTTTTAACATCAAATTATATTTAATTTAAATACAGAAATACTTGGCTACTAGCTAAACTAAACTGTAATGTACAAAGTTGGGGTCAGTCTGATTATTAACTGTTTTAAAATAAGCTTCTCCTGCTCACCAAGGCTGCATTTATTCAATCAAAAATACAGTACAAATTAGTAAAATTGTGAAATATTATTACAGTAAAAAATAACTGTTCAAAAGTAGTTCATCATTTAATTTAATAATTTATTCCAGTGATTTTAAAGTTTTTTTTTAGCTTCATTTATCCAGTCTTCAAAGTCACACGATCCTTCAGAAATCACTCCGATATTAATTATTAATGTTATTATTATTATTATTAATGGTAATAGTAACAAAACCAATAATGACTAGAGTGATCATTTCATTTGAACCTACATACAATAACAAAGCAGTTATTTGAAGTTTTAAGAAATATTTAACATTTTTTACATTTAGTAAATGCAGCCTTGATGAACAGAATAATATTCTTAAAAACATGAAAAAAAAACTGACCCCAAACTTTTGACTGGTAGTGTATATTTCAGTTATAACAAAAGGACTCTCAGCTTTAAAGTTTTTAGTTTTAAATTGTATTAAACTTCATTCAGTTTCTTGCTATTGTGTTGATTTTAAAGTTTATAAATCTGGGTCTGTGAATAGTTTTGCTATAAAACATTTGCACTTACCGGTATATCACTTAAAATATAATTACAGTCATATATTATATGATGTAAACACAGTCCTTAAGGAGGTCATTTGATCATATCTGCATCTACATTATTAAACAGTGTAAAATGTAAGAGATGGTTAATGTTAGGATTTCATGTTCTTACCTTGTGTTTGTGAGGTCTACGAACAGTTCTCTCATGTTTCACCTTCTCTGAATACAGAGGGTTAAAGAAGAAATTCTGGGCCTTGCTGTCAAACTGCACCGACCAGTCCCACACTGTAGGGCAGCTCAATGGCCTGCTTTGTGCAATCGGTGACTCGGCCTGCCAAGACAATCAAGTACAGGCAGTTACAGAGAGGCGTACGACTGTACATGTAGACTAATGACTGCTTTACAGAAGGCTGACTGTTTTCTTTTTAGCCACAGTACATCTAAAGAGACATCTAGCAGTACACAACATAAAAAAACTGTGTAGTAAACTAACTTTACAGTACAGCTCACCCAAACTGTTTTACCCATTTATGCATTCATTTATTCAATCTCCTTCAGCTCAGTCCCTTTATTTATCAGGGGTCACCACAGCGAAATTAAACACCAACTTATCCAGCATATGTTTTACACAGCGGATACCCTTCTAGCTGCAACCCATCACTGAGAAACACCCACACACACATACACTAGAGCAAAATTTTTGTTTATTTAATTGACCTGTACCGCAAGCCACGAGGAGAACATGCTAACTCCACACAGAAATGCCAACTGACCCAGCCTGGACTCGAACCAGCGACCTTCTTGCTGTGAGGAGACAGTGCTAACTACTAAACCATTGTGTTGCCCCATTGCCCATTTAAACACCCTAAAATGGTTTCATACTTTAAGGAGCTTTTTCTGTTGGGCACAGAAGAGGATATTTTGAAAAATGCTGTAAACCAGTAACCACGAAACACATTGGTTAGAAAGGAAGTTATTGACTACTGGTCTCCAACATTTATCAAAATATCTTCTTTTATGTTCAACAGAAAAAAGAAACTCTAACAGCCTTGGAACTAGTGGAGAGGCAGTAAATGATGACAAAATTAAAATTTTGGATGAAGTATCCCTGTAAAGTTTAATCAGTTTAATAACAAATCTCAGCCTACTCCATAAAATCAAGTACAGAAGTTCTACAATACCTTCATTACACTTTCTCGGTGATGAGCAGAGTTGAAGAGAAAGGTGCTGAAGATTGGCACATGAACACTGTCAGATAGCACAGTCAGGTAGGTTTCGGAAAACTGGAAAGCCGGGCTGTGCTGCTGAACAAGCTGCCACACGCACTCCAGGAACAGGAGGAAGACTGGAGAATGACACTACATGATGACAAACAACAATTAAACTCGTCATTATGAACTCAGAACTGACATCCCTGCTTAATTATGGAACACTGAAGTATCTCAAATAAATTAGTTAGCGGTACAAATTTCTATTTCAGTTCATGCTCTCATCATTTTTTATCAAAATAACTTCTGCTTCCTCTTGCCAAGAGTTTTTTTGTCTTTTGTACAGGAACATGGGAGAACAACCAGCTACTCGTATGAGATCAACCAATCCTTCCAATCAATTTCTGTCATACTAGCTCTGTGCCAACAGATGCTAATAATGTGCATCAACAGTAAATGTGCATATAAAGAGTTTAGATTCAAACGTGCCATATAGTTTTTTAAGGCTATTATGTTTATATTCAGTTATTTCTCAATAAAGGCAATGAAATTAACTTATTCCTCATCTTAAAACTGAAGTAACTGAACCTACACACATGTGGAGCCTGAGAAAAATCCTAATTGTAGACGAATTCAGATGGCACTTATAGGCTTTTGCATTTGAACTGTTCATGTTTAGGTATAGAATTATGAGAATGGGTTATGTTATTCACAGTGCTTCGTGGTAGTGGGCAGGGCTAAACATCTATTTTGGGCACGTTGCTGACGTGACTCTGATAATTGCAGTTTTCTCCAAAACATTATGGGTTGCATATATTATGCTATAAAACATTGGGTTTAAAAACAAGTTTAATTCACACTGAAGAATTCAACAAAGATCTCAAAAGGTCAGTATATGATTTAATATAGTATAAAATAAATTTTCCTGTGGATCAAAAAAAGAAAAAATTGACTGTTTCAACCTAGCCTCTGAGGCAATTTATGCTTAATTATTCCAGACGAACATGTCATGATTACAATTGACATAATTTTGTAACCTGATTAAAGACAGGTTTGCAACTTGTATTTCTGGTTGCAGAACAGCTTGCAGATATCAAAGGTTAACAACAACAAAAAAAAGAGAAAGTATAAAACAGTAACCTTTCCTCTAAGCCTCTGAAGAAACAACAGGCTATAACAAGCATGCAATAATTACCTCCTTGTCTTTCTGATGGAGGTGATTGCATCGATCCAGGAAGGCATGGCAACCAGCCACCCACTCCTTCTGCACCAGACTCTGGAAACCCATCAGTGTTCTGTAATACGGGTCCAGCATTATCTGAGCCAGACTGGAGATCACACAGCACAGATCTGTCCCCTCTTCCTCTGTGAACAATCAATAACACCACAAAACATCAGCTGATACAATCTCAAAGTCACAGGGACAGATCTTGCCAGATTTAAAAGTATTTCTTTTAAAAGTGAAAAAAAGGACCTGATTTATTTGCTGCATTTTTATATTTTTTATTTTTATTTTTTGTTGATAAGATTATATACTGTTAAAAAATTCCAGACACTGCACAAGAGATAAGAGATGTAAAATGTTTAGGTATGTAAAATATGTGCTGCACTTTCCTTTCTATATCAAAATAAAAACAACTCAAATGACAATGGTGTGAAAATAACAGTTATTTAAAAAAGTATTTATCTATTATAAAAAGATTTAACTTTTTGCCTTAATTCTGACAGGGCAATAGCTAAACAGGAAGAAAAGTTGGAGATGCTGATGGAGTTAGAGAGAGATAGTCAGGAAAGCTTTGCCGCACTGCCCACTAGGCTATTGGTGCAGACACAGCTGTGGATGTTTACATCCCAGCTCTACTATTAGATACTTTAAATGAGCCATGCCATGTTTATTTATGTAACAAATTGCTTTCTGCTCATACAGTTGAAGTCAAAATTATCAGCCCCCGTTTATTTTTTCCCCCCAATTTCTGTTTAACGAATACAAAATACTTTCACATTTCTTAACATAATAGTTTTAATAACTCATTTCTAATAACTGATTTAACGGATATAGGCGAGGTGTCTGAATGGTAACAAAGTCAACTGATAAAAGACAAACACTGCGTCCCAAATGGCACACTATACACTGTGCACTCATGCACTATGTACTTATGCACTTACACACTCAACAAGATAGTACATGTATGTAGTGTCGCCCCAAATGAAGCACTAATGTTTTTTTTACTAAGCGGAAATTCAAACCATTTCCCTAATGACGTTTAACGGTTGCCAAATCAGTGAAATAAACAAATGAATTATCAAATAATTCGCTATAATCACTCTCGTAAGATAATTTAGCTTTTACCATCCAAAATAAATAAAGTTATCCAACATGTGCAACCGCGAGGCAGTGGCGCAGTAGGTACTGCTGTCGCCTCACAGCAAGAAGGTCGCTGGGTTGCTGGTTCGAACCTCGGCTCTGTGTGGAGTTTGCATGTTCTCCCTGCCTTCGCGTGGGTTTCCTCCGGGTGCTCCGGTTTCCCCACAGTCCAAAGACATGCAATACAGGTGAATTGGGTAGGCTAAATTGTCTGTAGTGTGTGAATGTGTGTGGACGTTTCCCGGCTGGAAGGGCATCCGCTGCGTAAAAACTTGCTGGATAAGTTGGCGGTTCATTCTGCTGTAGCGACCCCGGATTAATTAAGGGACTAAGCCGACAAGAAAATGAATGAATGAATGAACATGTGCGACCGATAGCTCCACCCCATACGCTATGTGGGCAAACCTGTGGTCGTTGAATGCGTGAAGTGTCCATCATTACACACTTCATTTTACAAGCTGAACGAGTGCATCATCCGGGTAATTAAAGTGCACTTATTATTTTTAGAGTTTCCAGTGTGAACGCACTACTTACACTATTCATACTACAAAATGGCGTAGAATAGTGCATAAGTATGCGATTTAGGATGCAGCTAAAGTTTGCTATTCTCCAATTCTCATACAGCTCTCCCGACAAAACTGCTTGCTGCAAACCAATATCTTTGCTGTATCGGCCCTGACAGCATCGTGGGGAAACACATGCAACAAACCCAGATGACAAGGAAACAAACACATACGACCCGTGCTGTGCACAGACGCAGTCTCGCCCAATCATTGGGTCTCACAGCTAGGCAAGTCTGCCTTGCTTTCAGAAAGCACTTGCAGTCAAGCAGGGTGTTCTCATAGGATAGGAAAAGTCTGCTGTGAATAATATTGAGAATCCAACACATCATCACTTGATTAGCAGATTCGCGAAACGCCACCAATTTTGATCTCGATCCAAAAATGATTTTAAACCCAGAAGCTGAAATAAGCTGACAAAAGCTCAAAATTATCCAGTTTTCCCCACAATTAAAGCTGACAGGTGCTAACATTGTCCTGACTGACTTTTTTTTAAAAAAGTACTCCAATGTGTCTTGAACCGTTAAAGGTTTAACAGTAATTGTCAAAAATCTATTTCAATACGGATAACCCAAACTGACATGACTGGCTAACCCAGAAGATGACATGTAGGACCACTAAAGTCGATATACTTTAAGCATGCTTGACCTACCCGTTATAAGAACATTTGTGTTGTCTTTTTCAAGACATTCCACCACCTCTACTGCTTTTTGGAGACATTGTCTGTTGAGGACATTAAAAACAGTTTGTGAATAGTTTCATAGAGTAAATCACACAATTTCAGGCTTTCTTCAAGTAAACTGACCTAATGATGTCCAGCCATCCTGAGCTCTCAAGAGAAGAGAACCATTTAACATCTGATAACCAAAAATCTGTTGTATTATCTAAGAAACAAATCAGAAAAGTCATTACACAGCAATTTAAAAAACAATATATGTGTTCATTAATTAAATACTTGAGATTATTTCTGCCCTTTTCCAGTGGCTCACCGATGAGAAAGTATTGTTTGAACTTGTTATATGACTGCTGGATGTCTTGGAGAGTAGGAAGTGATTCAGAGAGGTCTTCTGTTTTTACTGAATAAAGGTAGTTCCGTGCGACTGCAGTAATCATTCTGGAACAGATAACAGTAGACATAATACAATTTAGTTTTGGTCCTTGAGTTCATCACAGAGTAGCACAACACAGAAATGCTCTACTGGTTCATGATGGTGTTAAGAGCAATGTTAGATAACGTTACAACATGTTTTTCTTTGATGCCCTTGAGTGTCAGCACTTAAAAGCACAGCCCCTCATGCCACCATGATGAAATCGCAGCTGTCCGTCTGAATTCAGACATAAATGGCAGACTAAAACTGTATTTTCTCACGTGTCCAAGTGGCTTTGAAAATCCCCATCTTCCTGTGTCATAGATGGGAAAGATGCTTTGAAGAGAGCACAACCGCTGTGATGAGACCAGCACCAGATCTAAAGAAGACAACAACATTTGGCTTCAGTTATCTTTATAAATGAACTATACAAATGACAATTTGCATACAAAAACCAACATAACAATATCAAATATTATAAATAATAGAGTTCATAAAAAATAGTTTTAAGGCTTATATTTTGTTCAATTAATATCCTTAACTCACTGGTAGTCCCTTCCCCTGATAGTTGAATAAATCACCCAGTGCTGATGGGATGACAAAGTACTGTGGCAACCTAAAGACAATGTCAAAGCAATGCTTTTTTTATTGTTATTAATATTTTTAACATGAAACATTACAGATCACACTAAATATTATTTATAAGTTTTTTTTTAACTGGTCGTTTAAAAAAAATGACATATTTCACTGCACTTTTAAATGAACTCCACAAAAATAAACAGTGCCGACTTGATCAGTAAAATCTAGGTCAGTAGTACACAAAGCCTACAATAGATTACTACTTTAACCTTGTAATATAAACAGTAGCAACACTTTATCAGATACTTTACACCTAACAAAAACAGCATGAAATACCTTTGAGACAGTTCAAAGTTCTCATTTTCAGTGACTAATCTACATTGTGCTTTGGTCCGTTTCATTTCCTGGGTCCAATCCTCTGGTGAGTCGAACATAATTGCCTCTCGTTTTCTCAGCATTTCTGCAAATACAACTGGCATCTGATGTGGTTTCATAGTTGACTAAATTGCGTTAAATACTATATAAAATGATTGTTTAAAAATAAATTATAATAAAACTTTAGTGGAGCTGATAGGACACTCCAACACTATGTTGTCACAAATCATATAGTTATTAAATCACAAAAATAAGGCTTTTCAACAAAATTCCTTACCAGATTTGCTATCTAGTCGAGTAATACACTTTCTGGAAGATTTGCCATGGTCTAGGGAGCATCAGTTAAAAAATTAATTATGCTTTATATCATATGTCATTATTTTCCTTCTAGACTACACACCAGATAATTTTAACATTTCAATACTTGCTGAGCCTAAAATAAGCTTTCATTGTATACAGTCAAAGTCAGAATTATTAGCCCCCGTTTATTTTTCCCCAAAAAGATATTTTTTTCAACACATTTCTAAACAATAGTTTTAATAAATAAATTCTAATAAGTGATTCGTTTTATCTTCGCCATGATGACAGAACATAATAATTTTGATAATTTGAATAATTTTGTCCTTCGTTCGCGAAACCCTGCCGCCATCCCACACCATCTTTGTTTATCTTTGCCATGATGACAGTAAATATTTTGCTAGATATTTTTCAAGACACTCCTATACAGCTTAAAGAGACATTTAAAGACTAGGTTAATTAGGTTAACTAAGCAGGTCAGGGTAATTAGGCAAGTTATTGTATAACGATGGTTTGTTCTGTAGACTATTGAAAATAAATATAGCTTAAAGGGGCTAATAATTTGACCTTAGAATGTTTATTAAAAATTAAAACAGCTTTTATTCTAGCCGAAATAAAACAAATAAGACTTTCTCCAGAAGAAAAAAAGATTTTCACACATACTGTGAACATTTCCTTGCTCTATTAAAAATAATTTGGGAACTATTTAAAAAAGAAAAAAATTCAAAGGGGGGCTAATAATTCTGACTATATATATTGTAATATTTGTATATAAGTGTTTACCTAAATTTACCAAAAATATTAACCCAAATGGTCGACTTAATAAGCTGTACAGAAAACTGAACAAACACAAATATGATCTGTACAGTATTTAATGTGGAAAATATTAGGAAATCATGAAAAAATTGAATTAACAAAGCTTAAGGTTTTCTAAGAATAATCATGTTTTTTGATCTGATCGGTCAAAAAATGACTTTGTACAGTAGTATAAAGTTTTTAAAGTTTTAGTACAGTTTTTAAGCAAATTCGGAGAAAGATCGGCCAAACTGAACCCAACAAATTAACAAAAATCATCCAGAAGTGTTTTTTTTTTATCAGTCAATCGGTCTATCCCTATTTATTTGAATAGTGCTTTCATGATGATTATTGTTCCAAAACAAAGGTGCACATTATTACATTACAGTCAAAATCAGAAAATGGAAAGTGCAAGTAGGGTGGACAGTACAGCTGTCAATTGTATAAATAGCCAGTCTGCAGTTATAAAATGAGATATTTATACAATCTATTCATTTATAGCTATATTGCTATACTATGGAGTCAATGTAACATGGAGTTATTGGTAACTTATAGGAAAGTATCTAGTGCATATAGAAAGGAAAAAGTATGTTTCCTACAGGTAATATATATGATAATACAGAAAAAAAGAAATGTTAAACAGAATAAAAGCAGGATGCAGCAATAATCCAATAAACATTTGCATAAAGACAACCCAGAAAGACGATCAGGAATTTATCATCAAAAAGAGACTGACTTGTTCTTTCAGTTATTCATTGAGCTCCATTTGTAGAGACAATAATAAGAGTATAGCAGTAGGTGAAACAAGACTGACTTTTAGACTTAAACAAAACTCATGTTCTACATAAGTGTTACTGAATAAATTTTTCCACAGTGACGTTTTCCCTCGTGTCGCATTGTAGTTTACATGTGTTTGCTGGATTTTCTGAATAGCTGTACTCAGGCCTGATATTATACCTGAAATAAGGATGTTTTTTTCTCAATTCGATCACAAGTCAACAACTCTCATGTGGTTGAATGCCACGAAATGTGGTTGAACAGCCGAAAAAAACTTGGGTAGAGATATATCTGAATGCTTTTAAATAACAGGTGAAAACAGCATCTAGGTCAACCGCAGTAAAATTTTAATAAAACTAGATAGTAATAATAATAATAATAGTAATGCTGTTGAAATGAAAGCGTATACAAGTGCTAAAATATGTACCTGGGTTCGTTGACCTTAAATAAGAAAAGGCAAAAACACACTTGAGAGATTTTTCCTCCAAACAATGGTGAGCAATTCCCTGAAAGATCTGACAAAACAACATGCAAACAAATGCAAAAGGAGATTTGTAACACTTATTGAAATAACATACATGTAAAAACACATTCAGCCCTCACTTCATTCCTTGTGTATGCATTACCCTTTTGGCATCTTCCTCCTTGGAGAATGTTAAACAGAACTGAAAGACTCGAAGATCTTTACAGTGAATGATCATTTTGGATGGACATTTGTTCTTCACAAGGCCTCCTGTTATCAGTTTCCTCTTTTCATCATAAACTTTAAAAGAAAAGAAGCATTTAAGTCAAACATTTAAACCAACAGATCTAAAATATGAAAAGATCAGTAACAATCAATATTGATGACAAGTAAAAATACAATTATTACCACCATAGATGTGATCCACACACATTAATGGAATGTCATTTTCACCATAGAGTTTGTTCTTGAAGGTCTTGGACTGAAAACATGTGAGCAACACAGCTGTCACAATCTAGACAATACCAGGTAAACAATCATTATGCAAGATGAGAGAGATGTGTCTTTATACAGTGAGTTTACAGTAACAGGAAAGGCAGGCATAATAGCTTTGTTCAATGTGCTATATCAATCTCTCTCTCGTTTTTTTTGTGTGTGAAATCAACTGTGAAACACACTTTACTTCCTGTTTAGCCAGCCTCAAACATAAGCCTGAAAGTATCTGATGAAACCTCTTAATACTAACTAACACTCTCTGACCAAATTTAGCTTTTCAGCATTTTTTACATTTCTGATCAGTGATTAGCAACATTTACATTCACATCTCTGTCAACATGCAAAATAATAAACTAAAATAAAAACCAAAATCAACCTGAAATCAAAGTACCTGGCACTTGATGAATACCTGATCATTTGAATCTGCTCTAAGAGACTGCTTTCCCACCAGAATTTCACTGCAAGTGTGTCAGACACTCAAGTTCCTGAAACGGCAGCTAAAGTGAGAGCACTCGCGGCACAGTTCCTCATGCATGGTCACAGAGGATGCATTTTGCAAACTCAAGTCTATTAAATGGCTGTATTCACACTCATTTCTATTTACACATTTAGCTGTAGCATTTGTTGACGCCTGACTTGTATGAAAAAAAAAGTATGTTAGCAGATCTTCCTTTGTCTATAAATCTTTTGAAGCCAGAAAATCTTCTCATTAGGGCAGCACAATATATCGTTTCAGCATCGATATCGCAATGTGTGCATTGCAGTGTAATTTTTACATTTACATATACAAATCCACAACGTTTGCACTGTTATTTCACTTTTATCTTTGCTTTGTTGTATTCATCCATGCTTGTAGTTTGTTTATTACATGTTATGCATGATTCAATCTCCAACAGTTTCGTCACAGTCATTCAAGTCATTCTGAACCTTAAATTAAAGATTGACCAAAAATTCTCTCCTTGTCTAACAAAGCAAAGCCAGATTTTTCCAATATCGTGCAGCCCTACTACATACACTGTCTTTGACCAAAAAACCACTGTGGTCCAATCTCTAGCATGCGCATGCTTGTTTGTTTGCATTTAATGCCACACCAGTTTCTAGAGCTTTTTTAGGCAAATATAGGCTATATTAAGATTTTACATTTTTTCTAAAAACTACATTTGGATTCCTTTTACTAACATTGGGGCTAATTTCATGGGGTTTGTTTCTTGTATGCCAGGGCCGGTGTCCTGCATATTTTAGTTCCAACCCCAATCAAACACACCTGAACCAGCTAATCAAACTCCTAAAAACTTCCAGGCAGGTGTGTTGAAAGAAGTTGGAGCTCAACTGTGCAGGACACCGGCCCTCCAGGACAGAGTCTGGACACCCCTGTTGTATGCAGACTCCATGTGCGTGATATGCAACACTGTGGTGTTTAGCACAATAAAATCCTGCAAAATCATACCGCATTAGTAGTTCGGAGGCCAATGTAATTCAGTTATTTAGCACACTTGTAATAAAATATTAACACATCTAGCCATGCACTCTGACCCATCTGAAACGGGAGGAAATGCACCTTGCCAAACTTCATTTGCACAGAATGAGTAATGAGATGATCATAGACGTCCCATTTTGGTTTATGTATCAAATTAAATTAACAGTTTTATTTATGTAAATAGAAAGCAGGTAAAGAGTCCACTTTAATGTTTCGAATACCTGTGACATTAAAAAGTCAGAATATTTTAAATGATTTAAAAATAAATAAAGCAGAACTGAATAAAAGTACATAGTAAAATATTTAGTACTGTGAAAAATTCACTGTTACTACAACTGTTGCTGATAACGCTATATTCAATGTAATGTATGAATTAAAAATTGTAGTTAGTCCTAGACTAAAGACTGAATCTCTTTCTTGATTTTTTGCATTTTCAGATTTGAATGCAGCAATTGGAAGGATTATTTAACATATGCAAATCACCATCATTTATAATTTAGGCTGCGTCTGTGTTGAGATCCCGATGATGTAATTTGATACAGGCGATTTGAATGACACGAGAGGCTATCTCTCTCTGTGATCCTTAGAAATATAGGATTAATCTACAAGTTAAAAAGGTTAGCCTAATTCATGGGTCATGTATGTTCCGAATCATTGGTTGTGATTTGTACGAATCATGGATCAACCGTGATCTGTTGCACCCCTAATATATATATATATATATATATATATATATATATATATATATATATATATATATATATATATATATATATATATATATATATATATATATATATATATATATATATATATATATATATATATACACACACACACACACACACACACACACACAGACATACATATATATATATATATATATATAAATATATATATACACACACACACACACACACACGCACACAACACACTTGAAGTCAGAATTATTAGCCCTTTTTGAATTTTTTTTTTTCTTTTTAAAATATTTCCCAAATGATGTTTAATAGAGCAAGGAGATGTTCACAGTATGTCTGATATTTTTTTCTTCTGGAGAAAATCTTATTTGTTTTATTTCACTTTTTAATTTTTTTTAAAAGCCATTTTAATTATCAGCCCCTTTAAACTATCTCTTTTTTTGATAGTCTAAAGATCAAACCATCGATATACAATAACTTGCCTAATTGCCCTAACCTGCCTAGTTAACCTAATTAACCTAGTTAGGCCTTTAAATGTCCCTTTAAGCTGTATAGAAGTGTCTTGATAAATATCTAGTCAAATATTATTTACTGTCATCATGGCAAAGATAAAATAAATCAGTTATTAGAAATGAATTATTAAACAATTCATTCATTCATTTTCTTTTCAGATTAGTTCCTTTATTAATCTGGAGCCAACACAGCAGAATGAACCGCCAATTTATCCAGCACGTTTTTACGCAGCGGATACCCTTCCAGCCGCAACCCATTTCTGGGAAACGTCCACACACACTCATTCACTACAGACAATTTAGCCTACCGAATTCACCTATAGCACATGTCTTTGGACTGTGGGGGAAACCGGAGCACCCGGAAGAAACCCTCGTGAACGCAGGGAGAACATGCAAACTCCACACAGAAACGCTAACTGACTCAGCCGAGACTCGAACCAGCGACCTTCTTACTGTAAGGTGTAAGGCGACAGCGCTACCCACTGTGCCACACACACACACACACACACACACACACACACACACACACACACACACACACACACACACACACACACACACACACACACACACACAGAGACAGACACACACACTTTTATCAATAAAACAGTCAAGTTTACAAATGCATAAAATTTAAGAGCTTGAAGGATAGTGTGGTGAAGTAGTGAAATATAAAGATCAAAACATGCCTGACAATATTTTTGGTTATATGCACGTTTTACAGAAGACACTTTAGTGGGAGTCTTTTGTTGGAAAGAATATAGGATAGTCATTATCTTTTTACATTATTTTTCAAACCTAATAAAAGGCTAGCTGTTCTATATTTTAAAACTAAGATGCTTGAAATCCCCTTTTCATCTTTGACCTGTAAGCATCTAGATCACAAGTTACTTTCAAACCACACTACATGTACAAAAATACTGCTTTGTATATAGAGGAAGCTCACGAATGTGAAAAAAAAAAAAAAAAAACAATGTGGTTCTTTGATTGGTTAGTCTGAATCACAAATTGTAGACTGTGTCATAGGTGACAGTTATTCTGCTATTCACTCAGTACATGTGAATAAGCTTTTTTATTATACAAAGTTTATAAGTTGATTATATTGCTCTGAACAGAAGGCAATTTTTATTTATTTTACAATGTTGTCAACTGGTGTCAAATTTATGATTATCTTATTTGTACATTTCTGCACAAAGGTTAGGTTTAGTAAGGTTTGTTGTGCCCGGTCAACTGTCCTTACCATCTCTTCCTGTGGTGCATCATCACTGATGAAAGCAACACGAAAATTGGTGCAGAGCAAAGTGCCAAAGACGCCACGCTGGGAGAGGTCATCTTGAGTGTATTTGAGAATGGGATTGGCACTGCAGAACACCACTTCACCTAAAAAGCAACACATTAGTAATGTCAGCTTACAATAACAATAGCAGAGACTGTCGGGACCTGTTGTTTTGTTTTGTGGTGTGCATCGCTTTAATGAAACACTGTCAGTGTTTCAGCACATCACCACCTTTTCTGAATCTGTGCAAATAACCCTGACTACATGAAATGAGATCTATGGGAACTACTGTCTAAAATGAAAATGATACCCTTAGGTACTCTCTTACACAAAAAAGTATACAACAATAGTGTACAATAAAAGTGTACAATAATACAAAAGAAAATCCTAAGAGATCGGAACATTGCGTGAGGGATTTACCTGGAAGCAAATCAGGATGTTTTTCTTTCTTCTGTGGGTCTTTCTCCAATTTTATTTCCTTAGGACAAAAGCCATAACATTATAATAATAAACCTTACTTAAAGATATTTGAACAAGAACTATACTGTAATGTAAAGTTATACAGATCATATACATTTTGATCAGCTATATTTGACGTCTATACATTATATGCCATAAATGAAATCTCCTCTATTACATTATTATTACTAAACTTGGTTGGCATGAGAAACCTGTAAAAGTCATATATTACATGTATGGCATAAATGAAAAAAGCGATCTGTGCAATGATTTTTTCAAATCTTATTTAAATGTTCTACTGAAGAAAAAAGTCACCTTGGATGGCCTGATGGTCAATAAATTAACAGCAAAATGTGAAATATGTCATGAGAACTGAGCCATTTGCTCCGTGGAACAACATAATCCTTTAGCCAAAATAGTTTTGTCTATTTTAACAAGCAGTCCTACGATATCTACCACAATCAGGCTACTTCACTTATTGCTGATTTAAACAGATGAAAAGTGGCCAAAATCAATAAACTATTATGGCTATATATGTTAAAATTCCTGAAATTAAATTAAACACATAAACAAGTCAGGACTAACAAAAAAGAAAGGAAGTCATAAAATATCCTGACTAAACACAATGACTAAAATTGGAGGGGGGGGGGTTGCTTTTAAAACTTGAGATTTTAAAAACAAGTGATCATGTTGCTTATGTAAATGTTGCAAAAGAGATCACAGTGTGTTTTATTAATGTCCAGCCATCATAAAGAGGTAAAAACACTGGGAAAGCACTCTAAGCTTCATCTTAAAGTCTAACCCCACTCAATGATCTTAAAAAGAAGCAACTCTTCACAGAAGACTCTATCTTCCTACATTTACTTAAAAGAGCAGTACTTTTGGTCCCCGGTCAGGTTCAATTCATGCCAGAGTTTGGTTCCCTTGCATAACAGGAACAGTGTTTTCTTAACTGTGCTCTTCTGTGAAGGGTAACTGAGTCCACCTAAAAAAGGGTGGTCAGGGTATACGCTTCATGCACACTCCTGTGTTTCTGATGTGAACGCAATCATGCTAATGAAAAAACAGTTATTTATAATTGATTCTGCTGTACTATTCTGCCTGAATAGACTTGCAAAAACCTCTAAATGCCATGAGAAATATTCTCCTAAAATGAGCATTTTTCTCAGCCTCCTATGTTTATGTATTAAGTATTTTACTTTAATGGCAATGAAACAAACTTATTCGTCACTATCAAAGTAAAATTTCTGAGCCTAAACACAAGAGTCAGAGAAAAATGGTCATTTTAGTAAAAAAATGAAACAGCATTTTGAGGTTTTTGCATCTAAACTTTTCAAGTGTTACAAGTGACTTGACATACAATTTGTTGCTTATACTGATATATGAGATGTTGAACCAGACACTGATGCTCACTCACTTTTAATTAGTCTTTTTTAATACAATTAAACAGAACAGTGTGAAACTAATTGACAACAATAGCTTCTCTTTTAGACTTTAGGTGATTTTTCAGCCAATTTACATCTCATCGGTTCAGACACTTCATGGAAATCAAAACCATGAGGATTGATAGTATCTTAATATCTTTTTTTACACTATTAATCCAAAGTTAACCAGCTCAATGGTTAACACTGTCATCTCACAGCAACAAAGTGGCTGGTTCGAGACCTGGCTGGGCTAGTTGGCATTTCTGTGTGGAGTTTGCATGTTCTCCCCATGTTTGAGTGGTTTACTCTGGGTTCCCACGCAGTCCAAACTCTAAAGACATGAGCTATAGGTGAATTGGGTGAGCTAAAATGTCTGTAGTGTATGAGTGTGTTTGTGCAAATGTGAAAGTGTGTTTCCCAATATTGGGTTGCTGGTATCCACTACATAAAACATATGCCGGAATAGTTGGCGGTTCATTCCACAGTGGCAACCTCTGAAATAGAGACTAAACCGAAGGAAAATTATTAAATGAGCTCTGAAAATAAAAAAAAGACTGAGTTTTAATTTTAATTTGAGCACAACTGTTCTTATTTTCATGCTTTTATTAAGAACAAATAAATATTTGTAGCCTATTGTATTGGCTGTCAAGTGGTCATGACACGTCCCATGACATTTATTCTAATAGTACGACGCTCTCTCTCTCGCGCGCGCGCGCACATACATACCTCAGCTGCATAACTTTCTCAAGGCATAACCAACAACTTCAAATACATCACATGCCAGAGCAAGTGAAGCCACTCGTGACTCAATAAACATAAAAATTACTCAGTAACCTGGATGACAACCTCGAATCATAGTTGAACGCAAAATAAAGGATGTTGAGTTCTGAGAGTTGGGTTTCAGTCGACGGGGGGAAGAATGTCAAGTTCATGGCGCAATTGAATGGAAAATAAACAACAAATGTTGGTCGTTTGAGTGCCTTTTCCCACGTGAACAAACCTCATATAAACAAAAGTGCGAATTGGCTAAACTTGAACATGTCAACAACGTGAACTTCAGCATGGGACAAAATAATGCTAACCCCGCCCAGTGCAATACAATCCGCGCTTTCAACTCTTATTTTACTTTACTTCAACCCACAGTCTCCTGGTTGTTTTGAACACAACTCAAAATTGCACGAGATCTTTCGCTTACCTCGGGAGTCACATAAGACACAAATGACGGTTTAGAGGACTTGGCTCCTCCGCTCCCCAAACTCAACATTCTGCTGTCCCAGAATCCCGCTTCCCGAGCAGTCAGGTGGAAATCCGGGAGAGCTCGAGAGCACTACTGTCCTGCCTCTCTCTCTCTCGCTTCCTCCACCTCTCCCTTTCACAAGAACGGTTTCATTTGGTTGGTTGGAAGACAAACCTGCTCTGAAAGCAAACCGCGCCCGTTCAACATCATTGGTTCTTTATAGACAAACTGTCCATTTTCAGAGCTGGTCAAACACAAGCCGCTTTTTTCTAATTGGACGATGCAGCTGTCAATCTTAAGCGCTTCCTTGTTTTTAAACCAATGAGTCGCCGTATTCAAAACAGCCTACGCCCACACTTGAAGAAGGGCATGTTTTTGTTTTCTTTTGCCTTGGGGCTCCTGTGACTTTCCGCCTTTGAATACAGACTAAAAGTAGTTTCTCATTAGCATCAGCAAAGAAAATAAAGCATTTGGTGCTGTGACAAACACCACTGCGAATAAATCCAATCTACTTTGATAATATGAAATTTCCTGGCTAAAGACGAATTGGTTTTCAGCTGATTGCTGTATCTGATTAAAAAGGAAAGCAGAAACCATTGTTCCAGAAATGTTTTATTATATGCATTGTAATGCAGTAGTACCTTGACAGTGAATGACAAGCATCAAAGGGTAAGTCTACATACATCTGCAGTTACAACACAGATATTTTTCACTTTTGTCCTTCTCTTCTTTAACAGATATTCAACAAACTTTGAATCAGAAACCAAACTTAAGAGCAAGCAACTATGCATCTATCAATCAGTAAAACAAAACCCATAAAAACAGAACATAAGAAAAAAAAAAACATTCCTGTGCTTTAAAACCATACAAGCATTTGTTTTTGAAGATCTACTGGAAGATTAGATACAGGTTTATTAAATGATCATATATTAGAGATCATATAGTTATATGATCACACTTAAAGATACATTTAGGGTTTACAATATTATGAACAGAAAAAGAAATAAAACACAGGCAGACCTGGGTCAATTACAGTTTAAAGAAAAGTAAACCAATGTTTTTTAAATTTTATTTAAAAACACCTCCAATGCTCACTTTTTATAGAAATCCCTGTGAACAACTGCTCCAAAATGACTGTAACAACTCAATTTGAAATTAAACTTACTGAGAAAATCGATTAATAGTTCTGGTATTTGGCCCAGGTCTGAGAAACGCAACAGCTACACAACAGAGGCCTGTGGATATCAGAGCACACTTACAGCCTAACATCACTCGCATTAAGCAAACAGAAGGAACAAGGTTCTAGAGACACTTCAAGGATATGAATTTGCCAATGACAAACTTACAAATGGTTTAAAAGCCAACCCGGCCTTTAGAATGCATGAGCAATGGGAAGTACATGCTTAAAATAAATCCACGTCCAGTCAATGGCATCACATTCATCATAACAGGACTAACAGCTCGCATTAATCGATCATTTACTCTTTGATCTTGTGGTTTTAAGAGGAATGTCTCCAATCAAAATAAATTATGAACACAACTAAAATTACTGCAAAGCCAGGGAAGCAATTGTCAAAGTTACTTCACACATATGACAGGAAGGTTAAGATATACTTTAAAGAATGAACCGGTTTCACACTGATGCAAGTACACAGCTCTAAAACTGCCTAGCCTTGGATTCATAAGAGATCTGAAGATGGTGAAAAATTTTACATCTGATGTGCTGAATGGAGCATGAACATTAGGCTTAACTTCTCTGGTTTGTGCGCATTTCAAATCTTTAAGCCAAGACACCAGACTAAACAATTGAGATGGACTACAGTCTGGGTGTTAAGGAAATGAAGCCTGGCATCTCCTCAAGTGGCCATCATTAGGTCTTTACCAGCTTTTAAAAAAAACATTTCTAAAGACTAGTAATCGGCATGCACAGAGGTCAACAGAAATAGCGTTATGTATTCCTGGAATGAATAGGATTGGAAACGGTGCAGGGAAAAAAAGGACTAGTTGTACTGTAGTGTACTTCAGAACCCCTCGTAGTCCTTTTTGTCCTTCTTGCCTTCAGCTTCAAATCCATCAGCCCCATCACTATTGTCACGACGCCTCTTGCGGGTATTCCGTACGTTGAAGCGGGAGTTCATCTGGGGCAATGGGTCCATACCCAGAACCTTGTGAATCTGCCGGAATGCCAGCAGCCTCAAGGCAAACTGTGGAGAAAGTGAATGATTAGTACACATTTCATAATTATAAAACGATCAAAACACATAATTCAGTTTAGGGTGCATTAACACTTTAGGATCGGTTCTCTTTAGTTTACCCAAAAAAATAAAAATAAATAAATGTTAATTCCTCACCCTTACTTATCTTATATATATATATATATATATATATATATATATATATATATATATATATAAATATATATATAAATATATATATATATATATATATATATATATATATATAAATATATATATATATATATATATATATATTTATATATATATATATATATATAAAAAATAACACTATACGCACGCACACAAATAGAGTGGGGGTGGGGTTGGTCGATTAGCTTAAAGAATGTAACTCGCCCTTAAATAGAAGGAGAAAGGTGTGGCAATCTGCTTTTTGGGTTTTGCTTTCCATTGTTACCTCTGGTTAAAGTAATCGGTTGAGAAATTCAATTGCGTTTATGGATAACATACTTATGTTACTGCCAAAAGTGGTTTGAGCAAACATACCTCAAGTTAGTAGGTTTATGGTTATGGAAATAACAGAATACATGGATTAGCGAACCATGGTTATTAAACCGAACCATACCTTTCACTGGAATTGAACTATAAGTGAACCAAACTTAAAAGTATAAAATGTACCCTTGAATGAAATAAAGAGTCTTTTATTTGACTGACAAAAGTTATTTTACCTGAGCGCTTGACGTAATGTCCTCTCTCTGTTGCTCTTCCATGAATGCTAGTGTATCTGTTGGATTCTTCTCACAGGGGTCAATCAATCCTGGAGCACCTGCATTACAAGGAAAAGTCGAGCATATACTGAACTAAGCATCCAAATAAAAAAGTAGAGTTTGTGTAGAGTTTGACCAACTCTCCTACTAATCCATGTCATTAAAAACATTTGCATTTTCAATGTCTCTTAGCCATGTTTTAGGGGGGAATTGCATCAATACATTCAGATCTTACCTGATAGCAGGATGCCTGAGGAAATACATTCAAAGACTCTTCGCAGAGCATCTCCAGGGCTCATTGGTCCAGAGGCACTGCTGATGGCCTTCTCCACCAGTAGCTCCATAGCCTTGAATTTAATTTAACACCATTTAATTTAGTTGCTTGTAATTTGAAAACCATTGCTAAACCACACCAAAGGTTATAAAAGGAGACAGAGTGCAAAAAAACAAGAATTCCTAAAATTAACTTGTACCCATCTGTTTGCATCACAACAAAATAGACTTTGACGTTCCCTAGTACTTTGGTTCCTAATGCTGCATTCACCCCAGACACTGTACGCATTAATTAAAAATAAATAAATAAAAAATAAAAACGCAATATTATTATGTTATTAATATTAATATCATTTATGGACACATGAACAGAGTGAAATCCTCTTCACAATAGACGCAGATTCACGTCATGGGCATGGGCTAATATGGATTTTATTGAGATAGTAGCCGTGCTTTGTGCATTAGGAAGGCTGAAAAACAGCATATTCGTTTGGCACAGTGTCAGAGTCCATTAGATTCTTTCAGAGGAGCACCCAGCTCTCCGAGTTTATCATCAACTCCTCCAGGAACTATATCTGGATAAAGGGCTTCAGTGGTGCTTCAGACTGAGCAGGGCCCAGTTTGATGAACTTGTCTGTAAGAGGATTTTCGCTTGAGACACCAACAACTGACACTACATAGTAACTCCCCTATAAGAGCAAGCTTCTGATTGGTTAATGCAGCGCGAATGTCCACTGAAGTTCATATTTTCCTACTTGATCGATTCGTACTGCTTCATTTGAACTAATCTCCTCATTCACACTGCAGGATGTCTATACACGTGCTTGATGCGTGTGGTGTGAAAGCAACAAACTCAAGAAAAAAAAAAAAAAAAAATACACAGGAAATTTGTTGGCCACTAACGTGCGCCATCAAAACAAACAAACTTGACAATCTTGAAAGCTTTGAATTATATTGCATTATAAAAATTCTACATAAAAACTGCAGGTAAGGTCTCAAAATTACAATTCTCATTGTTCAGGAATGTGAATGCAAAATACAGTGAATGCAAAACTCAATTTCAAAAAGAAACTCTGAACCTTTCTTTGCCTTAGACTACCCAATATTTTTGTGTTACAATGAACATGGTGTCAGATTATGCATTCACTAAATTCTAGACAATAAGGAAAAACGACAGATAACATGTTGCTACTTGACATGTGTATGAATACAACCAACTATCAAAATAAATTAACCAAATGGCAACCAAAAAAAGTGACATACTCCAGAATTTAGATACCTTTTTTTGAAGGTCTACCGAAACAAAAAGCATAAAGTAATCTGAACATGGAGAGAAAAAAAAAAAAAAAAAAAAAAAACAACAACAACAACAACAACAACAACAACAACAACATTACTCACCCAGCTAGGAAATGCAGACCAGGTAGGTACTCTCTGACAAAGGTCACGCAGTATTCGAATGACAATCACACATGACTGGAGTCCATTAGCCCTAGCCTTCAGTGCAGTGAAGTCAAGATTAGTTAATGCACAAGAGCAAAGATGTACAAACAGTCATACAATATGGCGGAGTTCAGAGAGAGGTGCAACACCACTGTTCACAATGGAAGCTTTTAATGGGATTTTAATCAGCTGGGCCAATTGGTTTCCATAAGCTGCCATTTCCAGCAGTATTTTACCTCACCATTAGTACAAGAGTTCAAAGTTTGCAAGATTCACTCGGAATGGCTCCTTTGTAACCTTGTAAACCCTGACCTCAGTCATCAAGATACTTCACAAACATCTATTTTCATTTTACAAAAGATCAGTTTGCAAGAGTAGTTGCATAGGAACTGAAGCAGTCAAGGAAATCTGCTTTACTTTGCCTGTGTGTATGCAGAGAAAGCAACACCACAGTAAACTAATCAGATATTCCTTGCCTCTCAATCCCTATTCCCAGAAAAAAAAATAAAGAAATAAAAAAAGAAATAAATCACAAAAAGAAAACAAACGCTCAACATGAAAAGCTTTTAAATCGATGACACTTTATGCAAAGGTATTCTGCAGCCTTATGGAATCATTTTACATGCTAACATCAATCTGACACTTATGAATAAAATAATGTATCCAAGGATGCTATTTTTTTAGGATCAGATCAAATGAAAACAGAAATATAGTATCATTAATCACCAGATTTTTATACTGCATCCTTGTATCACTTTTTCATCCCAAAAATCAACTTTGAGGTTTGAAAATTTAAACAAAAAGACTAAACAACTTAAATGAACAAATAAAAAAGGAATACATCTCATAAGGCTACAAGAAGAAAAGTAAAATGATGTTCCGAACCTGGAACCACTTAGCGTGGCGTAGGGCAGCCAGAGCGTCAAGGCATTTTTGCCTGTCCAAGACGTCCGCTGGGTCTTTCACCATACTCGAGGTTACATCTAAAAATGGATCGAATTGTCAAATGGTGGTAAGGAATGGGTGTTTGACCAGGTCAGAGAGACTGCCAAGAACACATTGCCACACATACCAATCTGTTCCTGATCACTGCTTCCAAAAATATAAAAACCTGTACATGTACTTTACAAGTTTTCATTTTAATTCCATTCTACAACACCCCATATGCAGAATCTTTCAGATCTTTTCAGCAACATCATGGATCTGCTACTCTTGCCATTTGGTGCATGTCTGTGGTGTGGATACAACTGGATACAAATGGGTCCTGAATCATAGGCCTTTGTCAGGGATACAAGACAAACACTGATAATGTGACAGTGATGTAGGATTTAGAGTTGGAAATGAACTTTTTTTTGTTGTTGTTTTTAATTCAAGTACTCTGCATATAGTGAGCATGACACATCTTAGAATTACTAGATGTATAACTTTAAAGACCATTTAAGCCTCCAAGTTCTGCAATCCACTATTTGAAATTGCTGAAAATGACAATGCAAAGTATCAACTTCAAAAAGTCAGTCGATTACTTTGAATGAGTAATGTTAGCCTGTTATTAACATTCTAAAATCACCTTAGGTTTTGAAACCCATTGGTTTGGGGAAAACTCTTAAAAAGGATGGTGTGCAATTGGCAAAACTGCTTGAATTAAGGCTCACACAAAGTGTGGTTAAAATTTTAAGCTTAATACCAGGTCATCCAATTCCATGTTGTTGCAAAAGGATAAAATTGGTAATGATGATCTAGATTCTTAAAAAAAAAAAAAAAAAAAAAGGATTTCTCTTGAATTCTCAGCCAAGAACTGCAGGAGGGAGAAAAAAAAGTCTCTTTCAATCTATCCATCTATCTATATGGAAAAATTAACTGAAAGTTTAAAGTCTCATTGAATTCATTAGCGTGCTAGGGTTTCTGGCTCTGCTGCCGCTAGTAGAGAACATTTCAGTTTGTATAATTGTGGTGCTGTGAAGCAACTTTAAAAGTGCTACTTCTCAGCGGTTAAAGAAAATAGGGTTATTATTAGGCATCAGCTAGGTGTGTCCAGGGTTTAATGCAATCATATTGAGTTCAGTCAAATATGTGAAAGGGTATTATTTAAAATGGTTGCTGTTGTTCAGTATCAGATTAGCTTATTAATTTTACTATAAAATTGTGAAGTTTTATGCCACAAACTAACACATTTGGCAAGTGTTCCACTCCTGCGGATCTGGTTTAACCTATGGACTAAGAATTTGGCTGTAGTTCTTTTGCTCTAGGCGACAACAAATTGTGGATTCCAGTGTCTAGATAAGAAGTTTAAAATAAATGTTAAACTAAAGATTCTTTTGGGGAAAAAAATAAATAAAAATAAAAATCGCTGTACCAATACAATAAAAAAATAATAATAAAATAACAATGGGCTGCAAATGGTACCAGATGTGCAAATGATAATGAAAAACGGGGATAAAGGGAGATATGTAATGTTCACTGCTTATGAATATTTATAGTGACTCCCTACAGTAACATGGCAATGGTAGGTGTGGCAAAGTGTTTGAAGGTATTCAGGAGGGGGGACCTTGGTCAAAAATCCTTCCGGAGCTGGTAGACGTAGCCTCAGATGGGAGACAATTTGCTGAAAATGCAAGGAGGCTTTGGGCTGGACTTGAAAAGCTTTGTATACATGAAGGCAGCAATGCGTGCTGGCAAGAAAATCTGAAGCTCCCAGCTAAAGGATTAGGACATCACTGCATGCATACCTGTCAACAAAACTGGGTTTGGAGAACCCACATATCTCAATGTATACCGAAGGCTGTAAACCCCAGGTCCAACCAAAGATTCCTCTATCAAAGCCTTCCTCCCAAAAGCTGACTGATACTCCCCTAAGGAGCCATACAGAAATGGTGGCATGGCTTCAAAGCCGGTGTTTAAAACTTCACCATTTCAGTGGCTTCAGACAAACTATGACTCTTCATTGAAAACATATGCAAGAAACAGAAAATTGATGCACTTACAGATTACAGGTTACAGTAATGCACTGTTTGAATGCCAATTATTGCCATTATGAAACTACTTAACTCTCAGGGGAGCACTTTCATTTTGGAACAGGGGACCTTAAAATGGTGAACCTCTTTTCACCACCATACAAAAATGAGATTTGTTTCCTGTGGGGACATGGTAGACATTCCAACTACTCCTCAGACCCATCTCAATCATGTCTTCAGGAACTAAATCATGAATAAAGTTGTTTGCACAGGATTACCCCCTGACCCATTGGGAAATATGCACTGGAACATTGGTAACAAAATATCATTTGGATTTTGCATGAGACACAATCCCCTTGAACACAGGAAACAAAAATGAATCTTACCCGGGACTAACTAGACTTACACAATGCAAACACTTATCATGCTTGTTTTGGGGAGAGCTTCAAGAGCACTGGAAAAGTGTTACAAAGAGAAAAACCAGAGCACCACTGCTGACATTGGAGATGGTTGAGTAAAAGCTGGTAGTGTTGAAATCGGCTCAAAAAACAACTAGAAGCCAGCTGAACAGGCTTTAATCCAGTTACAGTATGAACATTACAGACTTCATATAAAAATCAAAGCACAACCACAGGAGGCACTATACCTCAGCAGCACAAGTAAAAAAATTATATATATAGATTTTTTGGGTTCAATATAGGTCATATGTACAGCCAAGCTCAAGCACATACCAGGTTTCATTTGGACCATTTTCAATATTATGGTCTTAATTTGTAAAAAAAATGCTCCTAAGCCCAAAAGGTGCAAACATGATTCTGGCAACATTTACATACAGTACCATCTCCACAGTGCCAACAGATGGGCTCCTCAGGTTGTCAAAATCAGCATGAAATATTAATCAGAGGTAGCCGGTTAATGTGTGCAACGTCTTTTCAAACCTCCGTCCCGGCTGCTCTCCTCTCGAATGATGGGTGAAGTCAGGGTGATGGTCACCTGCATCTTGGGATCACCACAAGAGGTAAGGATAATGGCAGACTCTTGGATGGAGCCCTTTACCTCGTATTTCTCTGGCGTTACCATCTGACAAAGAACAATGTCATTAGTCTTAACCATCTATTTGAGCTTCTGCAAACTTTAACTCTGAGCAACATTTGCTCTACATCGTGTAAAGAAGGGGTGTTCAACCCTGCTCATGGAGAACCAATATGCTCAGCTTTAAGACCTGCCTAGACATTTCAATTGAATCTGAAGACCCTACACACTTAGGGTTCAAATTCCATGAACTGGTTTGCATACACCTGCTTTGAACCCTATAAAAAAAGGGGATTGAAATCCTACTCTAGAAGAGTTTAGCTATAATCAAACCAAACAACATCTCAGGTCATCCAGTGTACATTAATGCGTTTTATAAGGTAATTTCAAAACTCTGAAGAACAGTGGCCTTTCAAGATAGACAAATGCAAGAACTTCAATTGCTCTACAGCAAGCGTTTTCAAAGGAATATCTGTGAGACGTATAAACAAGTACCGTGAGTTGTTTAGGGAGATGTTCCACAATGCGTGTGAGCAGATTCTTGGTTGGCTTCTCAGAACAGAGGAGGACCAGGTTGACCTCTTTATCCCCTCGCAGAAGAAGCCCCTTAGCAAGAACACCTACCCGCATCACTCCTTTCAGCAACCTACAATGCACAAGAGGACATGTATAGCTGCAGCCTTTAGCTTTCTCTGCTTTGAAAACTATTAAGAGTGCTCTCTTCCCACCTGTCTTTGGGAGGCTCTTTCTTTTCCTTGTCCTCTTCTTTGCCCTTTGCACTTGCACCAGCATCTTGGTCAGTGATGATGTCAGACACAAGCTTAAGTGCTCGCTCGGTGATTGATACGATCTTCTGGATGGCCTGGAGCTCATCCTCAGAGGGGTAAATAGCTGCATGTTTGGTCATCACATACCGATCGTCTGAGGAATCAGGACGACGTGGTGGCTGCATCAAAAACTAGATGTTAAACTACAGTTTTGACGAATCTAGTATAATGTATGAAGACATTTAAGTGGAAAGCTTAGGAGAAAGCATCGTCTTCAAATGACGAATGATGGAAACCGTACTGGACTCAAGTTGTCATGTCTTACCACTGGTCCTTGTGGTTGTGGAATGGGCATCCCAGGCCTCACACCAAGTAGGCCAGGAGGTCCAGGGGGACCTTGTGGATACCCTCCATCAGGCATTCTTCGCCTGTCCTCCCAGTGGTGCTGTTCTTCCTCCATGCGCCGCCAATACATATCTTCTTCATAGCGCCTGAGCAAACAAAGTAATAATTAGGAAGCCTCACAAAATGCTCTTTATTTCATACAAGGAAACAAGTGTCACACCTCATCTCCATCCTCCAGCGCTCCTCTTCTTCGCGTCTTCTCCAGTATTCTTCCTTTTGCATCTGCTTCCTCATTTTTTCCTCTTGAATTTTCCTGGCACGGATGCTTGGTTTCACTTCCACCTGGAGATCTGGGTTAACCTTTTTCTACAACAGTGGAATATACAATCAGCGACACTGAAGTTATAGTCATAATAAGAAAAACAGAAGCCGAACTGTTGACTCACTAACCTTGTACTGCAGTCGGTGTCTCCTTCCTTTCAAATGCATTTCCTTGGCATTGGGATCATTGAAACTGCATTCACACAGTTTGCAGTGGAACCGGATAACCTTGCCTTCATCATTCCTAACCTGAAAAACAAAAACATATTTCATTGTTTCCACTTGGCCACTCAAAATGATATCACTACAGAAATTATATCCCTAATAGTGGCTTCTGTTACCTCTTCAACATAGTCATGTCCGACAGGCTGAACGTCACTCTGCAGGGCTGCAAGTGCTGACTGAGGTGACATGGGGTCAGGCATGTCATTCTTTGCATCTGCTGCTGGTGCAGACGCAGCAGACTGTGCAGTTTTAGCTGCATCAGCTTTGGATTCGTCACTTTTAGAAGCAGTGGTTTGTAACTTGTTTCCACCTATATTGATCATGCAAAAAAAAATAAAAAAAATAAAAACAAAAAAAGTATCATATGATCCATTTTCAACAGCAAATAACATTTGTTCAGCAATACCTACCAACGAAGTTGATCTTGGGTGTGTTGACCTTCTTGATAGAGGAGCTGTTGACAGAGACACTGTTGGCTCCTGAACTCTTGCCCTGTGCAGCAGAAGCAGCCATACTGCCAGATTTTAAGTAAGAGGCAGAAACAGAGGAAGAAGCATTTGATGATGTGCTTGTGGAGCTGTTGATGTTGGAGCTGGAAGTTTTATTCGGAGCTGCAGTACTGGAGGTGGAAGATTGGGAAACCACACTGGGCTCAGTGGATGGGATCGGCTTTCCTAGCTTGGTATGCAATTTTACAACCTATTGAAAAAAATATTAAATGAATAATTTATATATAAAGAAAAAAATAAACACACCACCAACTAAAGAATTCAATGCTACAAACACACTTTGATTTGCATTAGACAACTAATATAATATGCTTGTGATAAACAGGCATGTAATCAGCCAAGGACAAAAAATAAAATAAAAATGACAAAAACTAAAAATACATAAATAAAAAATAAAAATAATAATAATTACAAACACGCACACATTATATATATATATATATATATATATATATATATATATATATATATATATATATATATATATATATATATATTTCTTGATATAAATATTTGATATTGGCCATACAATTTGTGTTTCAGGATTGTTGTATCAGTTTAAACGTTTATCAGTTTAATAGACACTCGAGTAATATTTAGGTATATAGTTTGTACTTCAATGTAGACACAGATCCATACACTGCCGCTAGAAAGCGCCACGAACTGTTAGTTCTCGTGTCCACAGGATAGAATTTTTCCTCTAATTTAGTCAACTCTATATTTCACATGTTATAAGGCTATAACTCGAGTCAGTCATCAATTCGAACTGTAAAAATAATTAGTCCAGATGAATAGAGTAGCCTAATATACTTTAACATTGCACCCTGAAAAAAAAGAAATAATTGAAATTAAAAATATTTAATTATAAATTTTTTAAAATCATTTAAACTTATAACTTTCTGTCATGACTTTTTAGGTGCTATAGGCTCTAGCACTGAATAAATTAAGACATAAGAACAGATGACTTGCAGAGGATTACAAATGTGCATCCTGGCTTTATTTTTATTGTATATAGAGTGCACGTGGTCATGATGTGCAAATGGGAGAGCTGAAACGGTGTGCACAGCCACGCACCCATTCAAAGTGATTTCATAATTTTTGCATAGTCAGCAGCTTTGTCATGTGCTAATTATAGAACAACACAATGTCATTGTTATAAACACAGTAGCCTAGGTAGGCCTACAATTACATCCCTGACCCTGAAAGACGTCGGATTTATGCAAAATACATTGGTTACCCCATTGAACTCTGAAAATACAGAAATCAGCGTTTATATGGAAGTATCAAATCCCTGAATAAAGTACCTTCAATCCCCTTCACACAAATTTTATTCATATTTGTAATAGAGTCCCTAAGGACATTTGTTCACCAAAATGTAAATTTAGAGCTGAACATGTATACTTTCCAGTTATTTTCAATGGAAAAAGCCACATTTCTTAAACAACAGCAGTGTTGCAAGGCACCAAGATTTTTTAATGGTCTGACAGTTGAAGCACTCACAGCTAAGCATTTTAGAAGAGCACTGGAGTTTCTTCTCACAAAAATGCTTTGGTAGACAAGACCTAAGAAACCCTCTCCACAACACTGATCCAAAATTATACGCATTCAAAAATAGTGCTGCCAAAACAAGCTTAAAGCAGGTTATTATGTGCGGAGATCAGAGAGTGAGTCATGTACCTTCTGGTGTTTGGCTCCTCTGATGTGCGCAGCGTAGGCATCAGCCCCAGTACAGGAGACATCGCAGAGCTCGCAGCGCAACTGATTTTGTGTCCCACGGGCAGAGCTCCCGCCTCCACTGCTGCTACTGCTGCTCTGTGACACCTTCAGTGCAGCTTCCTTCTTTTTGTGCTTCTGACCCTCGAGATGCTCTTTATAGGTCTGAAATAAACATGCCGGTATTACAGTTGAAGTTCACCTGACTCGCATCACTGAGCCAGTAATCATATACTGCAGAATAGGTGATACATGTACAAGGTAGTTGTCCTACTAGGTTCTACATAGTATGAAAGTGAATATTATAAATAACATTTGGGTATGGTACATCTGTTATTGACAAGTATTCTCCTGTGTTCTTATGGATATACACTTAATGTAGCTGCATATTATTTTGGCCTTCTACACTGTACGGAGCATATTCCGACAATATTTTAGTACAGTGCATCCATTTACACATGACACCAATACTTAAAAATGAAAAGTAATAACTTTAATAAAATAAAATACCTGGGGTCCAGCACAACTGATCTTGCAAACATCACAATAATGTATCTGCGGTGGTTTAGGGGGCTGTTTAGGTTTCAGAGTTTTGTTCTGGAAGGGAGTTTTCTTGGTAAATGTACTGCCGGTCCATGCGGCAGTGGCTGCTGCTGCAACGGCTGCCTGTTTTTGCTGCTGTTGCTGCTGCTGATAGTAAGAGGAGGCAGCCGAATACACTGCCGCTTCATAGCCCGAGTATGATGTTCCTGAGCATAGAGAGAAGAGCAATTATTGGCTTTAGGACAGATGGAGACTGACAGGATTGTACTGTAAATCTATAAGCCTAGATTCACTGGCTCAATTGGTGCAGTATTAAACTTTTAATCCCAACCTCATGGATTTGATTCTGTATTAAACTCAAAGAAACCAAGAACAAAAAAGCCATGTTAATGAATTCTACACTCAATAACAAAGCATGATATAACGGAAAGACGTTTCACTTCAACTCTAAATAAAGTATTGCATCAGATAAATGCTGTTGATGACTTATGGGAACTGAAACTGATGTTTTATAATACAACTTTGATGTTCTTACCGGAGTACGTGACTGCATTGGTGCTGTAGGTGGGACTCTGAGAGTAAGAGGGCACTACAGAGGCTGCCGCTGCAGCTGCGACCGGCTGTACTGCAGAGGACACTGGGTAAATGGAGAAGGTTGAGGTGGCAGGGCTGGGGGTGGCTGGCTTTACGACTGTAACCTGACGCGTTTGCTGGGTCTGGGTGTACGGAGTGGCGCCTTGGCTGTATCCGGTTTTAGGTGCTACAGGGAGGAGCAAAACAAAGTTGCAGAGGACATTTTACAATACAGATCACTTAACAGGTGACCTGAAGCTCATTATGGATTTTATCCTGTGTCCACAGACAACATTCCAACCATGTAATGAAATAGGAATAAAAGGGAATCAATGATACAATAGATTAAACCCTCGTTTAATTAAAAAGTACATACAATTTAGATTATTGTAAAAATTAAAACAAAAGCATTATATGCTCTCATGGAATAAACAGTCAGAAGATGATTTAATAAAAAAATGTTGTTACAAAAAGCCCCCCCCCCCGCACCAATTCATTTAAATTGCCAAAAAGAGTCCAACGTACCAGTCTGATAGTAGGATTCAGCAACAGTGGGTTGTGGTTGGGCTGCTGCAGCAGCCACAGCTGGAGTAGCTGCAGGTTGTTGGTAATATTGTTTACTGTCATACGCTACAGCAGGAGCGGTGGACCGCACATACGAATAAGAGTCCTGCAACAGTAAACAGAATGCTCATCTCATTTCGTACTTATTCAAAATTAATTTGACTTAAAAATGCACTTCAGAAGCACAGGAAAAAAAAATGCAAAACAGTGATCCAGATTTGGATTTATGCAAAAAAAGAAATAAATATCTTGCCCAACCCAAACTATATTACAACAAGCATGCTCCTTCCTCTTACCTGGTAGTTTTGTGAGGTGACTGGAGGTGGTGGTGGGGGTACTTCTGGCTGTCTCTGAGCATATCCATAATCCGTGGCAGCATGGGCTGGTTGATATCCCCCAAAAGCTGCAGCATTAGCCGCAGCCGCTACAGCGACTGGCGCAGGCCTTGCAACAGCAACCGTGGCGGCTGTAGGGGCATAGGCTGCTGCCACTGTGTGCGCTGCCACAGGTGCTTGATGTACAGTATAGCTGGCCACTGTAGTGGGGTGGGTGTATGCAACCCCAGCGGCCGGCTGTTGACTGCAGGAGACAGGACAAAAATCCCTGGATTACAACATTGACAGCTTACATTGTTACAAATGCCAATGCTGAACAGTGGCGTTTGAAATTGAGCAAAAATACTATTATTAAATAATTACTACATCCAAAAAGGTACTTCAAAAAACATGGCATCAGGACTCGGCTACACTAATGATACAATTATAATGCTTACACATGGAGTAAAATAACTTACTGATTTCAATTTGGTCGAATTCAACAAGAAGATTATACTTATGACCTTCAACGCAATTTTGTGTTCATGTTAATGTCCAACTGAAGCTACAGCAGATTATCTTTCAGTTAGATTCATAATAGATTTCTGGATTTAATGCACTAAATCCATTGGCTTGAAAGGGAAGATACACGTCAAGGGAGGAAACCCAATCAGTAATGGATTAAAAGACTTAGGGTGGCTTTCACTTGAAAAAGCAGACACAAATGTCATGCAAATATGGTCTCTTGTTATCCATTAGATTAAAAGCTTAAAATCATGACAACAATCTTGAGCCTCCACACACCAATCTCAAATCCATCTAAACGATGTAGTTTCAGAAACCTGTTCAACATCCATCTAGCACAGTTTAGTTAATAAATTAAGTGGTTAGACTCTAAATACTTAACTTATTATAAAATCTAAATACTTTGAAACAAGCCAATCAATTTTAGTGGGAAGCTGAAATTGTGAGGATCAAATATCAATTGATTGAAAAGATGGGCCAGAATTATGATACAGCTCAAGTAAAAATTCTCACATCTCTCATTCTCACAGCTTTTTTGCTAAAAATTGGCTGTCACATTGCATATAACAACTTAATACATGAGGTGTAAATTTTACACTCCCTTTCAACTACATTAGTGTGCAAACATTCATTAAAGAGAACTTTGGGGGGGGGGGGGAGACAGACTCTCTAAGCTAGAACTACCTTGTATAGTCGACTCCCAAGACATTACCGGAATCTTCCCATTTTACTTTGTTTAAGGTTGCATTTAGTATCTTGCATTAAATTAAACCGATTGTTCAGCCATACAATAAATTCAGCATTCAACGAACTTGCCCTCAACCATTCAAGACATTTTTGCTAGAACCTTGGCGCTAGTTGAATTGCAGCTACTGGCACTTTGAAAGTCAAAGTGTATTAAAAAAAAATAAGTTAACACCATGGCTCCTGGTAAAGGGTAGTTCGGCCTTAGTTTTGAACACTTGCGCTTCTAATGGACATTGCCAAATGGAAGAGGCACAAATCTCACATGTGAGCTGAAGTGCTTTGTTTACTACAGTGCGAAGACATATGCAGGGTATTGTTAGTCAAATCTGTATTTGTGCTTTTGCTGGACACCTCAACCATATTATAAATGATAAATTATGAAAAAAAAAAACAAAAAAAAATTCAAAAAAGTTTCTCAGTATGCAGCAGTGATTGCTTAACTTCATATTACCCAAATGTATATTCAGGCATTTATATTTATTTTGGCTGTATAGAGAGTCAAATTGCACAACACCATTGATTTGCATTAAGCATTACAGAGAACAGCAACTTAATTTTTGGATGATTTATCCACTTCAGAGGAAAGTTCATTACTTTTCTAGCTTTCTGCATCTTCAAAACACCAATCAGGGTGACTGATAGATTTTATAGAGTTTGGCATGGGCCGGTATAAGATTCTGTTGGCATGATAACAATGTTAATGACACAATGATGAAATTATTTTGGTTTCACGATTTCACAGTATTGAGATTACTGCTCTAAAATATATTCTTTTTAAATGTCTGGGTAAAAAACAACAATTTTTTTCCTCTTTTAACCCAATACATTTTATTTTGAGAAATATGTAAAATATTTTGGAGCAGTAAACATGTCAGACTAAAAAATTCAAATGAATCATTGACTTCTGCTGTCTTCATTGATTCAAAAACACAGATCTTTACAATTTGAAACAGCTTTTTTAGATATCTTTTCTGCAGAAGATGCTGTTCTCCTAAAAAACGTAAAAAAATAAATAAATAAAAAATAAAAAAAATCTTACACATACCCTAGGAACAGTATTAGAAAAAAAATTGCCGGTTTTAAAACCTTGACTTTTCCAAATCGAGGTATACCTTAAACGTTTATCGTCCCCCATGCCTATGTAGAGTACACATTTGTTAAAACAGCTTAAAGATCTGTAACCGATTTGCTTGTTTACCAATTCTTCCTTCAGCTGATTAAAAAAAACTAATTGAGGCATTATAGAAATCTAAATCCTACACTGTGTGAAATGATGACACACTAAACCAATGGCAAATTGCTTAGAAATATGATCCCAGTTTAGGAAAATCATCACACCATTGCTAGCTTGACAACCTGGGATAAGTTCTTAAAGCACAGTACACAATTACAAAATGGACGAGCACTAAAATTACTGAAAACGTCAACATAGTGACAGTAGGATCATTTAAAAGGCGAATCAAGAGGGACACTGAAGGAGTCCTTGAGGCGTCCGTGAAGACATCGCCCTTCACAACACAAACGCGCACATACATATTACAGACGCAACATACGTCGGCCATTCCTCAAGAATCGACATTTTGTAATAAAAAAGACGATAAAGTGTCACGGCGACGTTTTTAACAGTGTGGAACTACAACATTTTTCCATCACTTCCGTCTTAAAAACACTGGAGCTTAAAGAAGAGCGCGGAGACGCTCATGCGCAGATCTGCTCTGGTGCAGAACTAGAGATGACAGCTGCAGTGTGCTCGCTCGCGCGGTTCACTTTTATCACGTCAGCTCGGGATAAAAATCACCGTTTATACACACGTGAACACCAACAAAGAGTTTCAGAATGGTGTTATATCATTAAATGCTTTGGATCAAATAAACAGAAGCCAACTGAGATAAGGGTCTACTTATAAGGTAAACCGCCCTGTTAATGTAAACTGAATGAAAGTTACTAACTTCAAATCTTGACTATTACTTTTAACCTATTGCTTTTGTAACATTTTAATTATTTTTTAAACGTATTGAGATTCTTATCTTTATTTTAACATAAAATTTAAAAGTGCACCTGCTAGCCATCGTCACGTCGGATGTTTACATAACGTAACGTTAAGCAGACTGCTTTAAACAATATAACAACATCTCATGCATTTTATCCACGAATTAAAATAATTTCCCTAAAAAGGCCCAAAGTACTATGCAATGACATCCTGTGTGTGTCAATATATCTGCCTAGCAAATCAAAAAACAAATGTCATATATACATAAAAACAACACATTAATCGCCATATTTAAACTAAAACGTCGTTTAATGCATCATTTCCTTACCAAACGTTCATCTCAAGGTTTAAAGCGTTGCCCATCGCCTCCCTCCCCCTGCCCCCACCCGGACCCAGCAACAAAGGCATCGGGGCCAAATCCCACCATTACTGTACCACCACCAGCACTGCAGTCCCCATTAAACATCACGGCCCTTACCTGTACTGGGCCCCAGCACCATGGGTAAATCCAAAGTAGTTGCCGGTGGCCATTTTGGCATCTTCACCTAGCCGGCTGGGCACTGCAAAAAGACAGATTGGCGGAGGGTTAGCGGCTGTGCGCGGTGGCAACCATGATGAAGAGCCGTATCATGCAGTGGAAGAAAACACGCAGGACACCACGACGGATTACACCGTGACGACTCCCGCACACCCGCAACATGATCCTAATCACATCTTCTCTTGTCTAAAACCCATGAAATGTTTCGACACGCTTTTAAAATTTAGATTATACTCACCATAGGTGAAGGAGACTACTGGACATATGGGAATCATTGGTTTCCTATTCTCTAACGAACTCTGACTCGTATGCCTGCCTTTTTATATGAGAAGGTCGTACCAGGATATGGCGTTTGCTGCGCATGAGCAGTGTCTGCCGCCAGGGATGGGAAATGTAGTTTTGTCCAAAGTCATTTTGAAAGGTCAGTCAAACAAACAAATATTTTTTTGGATGTTTTTTTTTTTTACAAAAAGGAGTAATAGACCTACCGATGTGATCATGTTAGACACATATACTCACACCTAAAACTATATGTGAAACTATTAAGACTCAATTAAGGAACTCAAATGATGTTAGTGTTGATTATTCATAAATTTACCATGCAACAATCAGTGATGGTATGCTAAATAAAACTGTTAGGCTACAATTTTACTATTATAAAACCGTGGTTAATTTTGTGTAGGAACCAAATATGCCCTGGATGGTCTGAGGTAAGAAAATGAAATGCAATTTTAAATTTTAGTGTGATCTGTCCTCTTGACATCTGTCCCCTTGGTTTTTTATTTTGGATTTAGATTTATTTAAAAAAAACTTTTTTTTTATTGTTCCTGTTGTGTGTTATTATTGAACTTCATTCAAAACTTTACTACTTAACCGATCATTTTAGAAATACTTAAATAAACACTTATAATTATGTTCAATAAATATGATAAACACAAGCGTGAAAACGAGTTTGTATCAAACAAGATCTGTTTAAATTAGATAAGAACATTAGGTTCACAATTTTTATACACCGTAAAAATCCGACGCAATGCCGTCATTGATGCAAAACTACATTTCCCACAATGCTCTCTGAGATGTTATTAGCCATATGGTTGGTCCTCGATTCCTCGACTTCCCGCCGCTAAGCGTGACTGACTGTTGTAGACCACTGCTCAACCTTACATGTAAGTCACGTTCAATTCATGTTAAACTTGTTTTAGAAATGCACTCTTTAAACGAGTGCACAGCCACGAATAATTGTATTAAACGAGAGTTATACTGTTAACGCGTTTCTTAGTGAGGTGTTATTTAGGGCCTATCTTTTTCCATCTTAGTTTTAGAGGATGCAGAGGCCCCGGTCAGCCCGGGGTTTGATTTGAGTCAGTCTTGTTAACCTAAACAATTAAGCACTTAAATGTTGTCCAGTCTCGTCTGTGGGGTTAGATCGGGGAAACCTCAGTGATGTCTCATGTTGCATCTTTTTTACCAACATGACACTCATCTAGTATTTCTTTATTGGCTGCGCATCTGCTGGCTCTTATAAATGCAGGACTTAAAAATAAATATCTAACGTTATATATCTGCTGTATGTTACAGCTGGGAAATGTGGCTAGAATATTATCACAGCTTGTAATAAACCAGTGTTCCGACAATATTAAGGAAGATCCTGGAATCTAAATTAATAAAATCTTTGATTTCTTATGAATATATTTGATAGTGTCCCTGGCAAACCGTTTTTACCCTACTACAGTGGATTGTTTGTATGAACACTATTGTTGTCAGTAACTAAAAGTAATGGTCATGCAGCCTTTTGTGACACCTGTTCTGTGAGTATTTCTAGGTAACTTAATATACAGTTAATGCACTTTGAAGTTATTTTAAATTATATGATTTTGAGATGATTCGAACAAAAACTTTTGTTATTTAGTTTAAGGGGAGGGTTCACATTCAGATTGTACAACATATGTAAGTGTCTTTTAGCAGTTAGAATATCTAAGATTATTAGCTGGAAATAATTGATCATTCATGATATATAACATGCAAATCGATCATTATCAACACTTTGCAAGTAAAAAAACAAACATGAGTTAAACTAAATTTAAAGGGATAGTTCACCCAAAAATGAGAATTTCCTTACCCATTACTTCCACTCAAGTGAAACTAAACTAGCGTGATTTTCTTTTTCCTTTTTTTTTGTTTTGTTTTGTTACTAGCAAAACAAGATATTATGATCAAAATACTATGATTTTTTTCTCAGCCCCAGACATCACAGCAAGCATCATCCACAGACCTATGGCTAAAATTTTGATCCATATTTAATCTGTCCTCAGGATTTTCTTGGCTCAAAATTAGGCTGAGGTGGTATCCTGAACATGATTTTGTTGCTACTTTAACAAACACATATTGCATTATTCTTGTAACCTTGTCAAATAAAAGATATGATTTGAATATACTAACATTAAATGTAATTGAATACATGACCAGTGCTTGAGCATCCCTCAGGGTCTTTGTCAAAAGGCTGAGGTGGTACAACATTTTAATAGAGGTGGTTGCATAGTTATTCTCTATGCAGGAAATAATATATATATAATAAAGTTGGGTTTCTCAGTTGATTGTGTCTGCTGGATAAAGCAGTAAATAAATAGAAATATAAGCAAATTAGGCATGGGCCTATAAGTTACTGATGGAATGATAACCTTGGATAGAAATATCAGGGTTTGGCGATATTGTGATAGCTGCTTTATAATATATTCTTTTTAAATGTCTTGGTAAAAAACAACAACCTTTTCCCAGATTTTACACAATATATTTAATTTTAGAAAACATTTATAATATTTTGGAACAGTAAATAGGCCAGTAGAAGGGGGGTTCAGGTGATTCGAAAGACCCATCCCTCACTGACAAAAGGTCTAGAATTTATCCCATACACAAGCTCATTTGTCTTATTTTGACTGCTATGCCATAAAAAATTGTGAAAATAGCCATTGAAGAAGGCTTTAAGACCAAGCAGAATCCTCTTTTGGCTGTTGTTTTAGCGTGACTGAGAAAAGTTGAATGTTTGTGTTTGCCTAATAAATGACAATAGGCTAGTTTTTAACTTAAAACTGGAACAGCATCCTTTTTTTCCTAATTATATATGATGTAATATATTTGATTTGAAATGTAAGTATAATTCACTTTTTCTTCTAAATCTTCAGAAAATGTTTTTGGTACATCAAAAAGTGTGGTGATGATGAACACCAAAGAGAGCAGATTTTGTTACAACACATAAAAAAAAAAAAAAAAACTTCCATTCACCTTAGGAACGATACAACAGAAAATGTTAGTGGTTTTAAAACCTTGACTTTTCCAAACCGCGGTAAACCTTAAAACTGGTTATCGTCTTATGCCTAATAAGTATACCGTACTATAATTTTGTTGTGATTTAATCAGAGCGGTGTGTTCTCAGAAAGCATGTCTACAGTATGTTATCAGACTTTTAAGTCACGTCTCGCTTTCAGTATCGGGCTTTGGCGCGTTTTGCGCTCACACACAAGCGTACCGCGCCAAAGCCCAAGTGATCCGCGCTCAGGCACACCTCTTCCAACCGGGCCAGGGCCGGCCAAGTGAACCGTGCTTGAGCATGATTCAGCGCACTCACACTTCTCAAACGATCCGGGAAACGGGCCTGGGCACGATACGGATGGCATAGTGTGAGTAGGCCCTAAGTCTATGTGTCTCTGCTGCTACATCTTCAAGCTCTGTTAAAGGACATGTCAGTTTGAAAGATCATTAGTTGACAATCTTTGCTCCATGTCCTTTATTCAGCACACCTTACAGTTCACACACACACACACACACACACACACACACACACACACATCTGTGCAGAGCTTATCTAATTTTATTAGGTAACATGAGACAAAAATGATTTCAGAGATCCAGGCTTTTTGCTTCCTTTTGTTATTCAACAAAAACAAAACTCTAAACAGAGCATAATATAAACCACTGGTAAACAATCTGGTGTCACTAAATATATTACTGCATTGAAATGAAGTTGGTTAATGTAAAGCACAGGTGTCAAACTCGCTTTCTTGTAGGCCGAAGCTCTGCACAGTTTAGTTTCAACCCTAATTAAACACACCTGATCAAACTAATTGAGTCTTTCAGTCTTGTTTGAAACTTACAGGTACGTGTGCTAGAGCAGGGTTGGAACTAAACTGTGCAGGGCTGTTTGACACCCCTAAAGTAAAGGGTCATGTCAGTAAAATTATGGTTGGGTTGTGCAAATGGCCTTGTGGGGGCAGTGTTGACTCGTAGCAAGACATTGTGCTCGTTTGTGTTCAACAGAATGCCCAAGTCTAAGGAGGTGCTCTCTTCCACGTCTGGCAGTGAATCGGATGGTGATGCAGAAACCAAGGTGTGAGACATATTTGTAACTTGTGTTAGAATATTTAGACTATAAAACACATTTTAATAGAAAGTATATTTACAGAGAAATTAGAGAATGTATTTATTCAGGAAATGTTTTCATGGGAAATGTTTAAAAAGGTGTCGTCTTCTTGATGAAGTTTAGAATATTTATCATTGATCAAATTTAAATATCTTATGTGACTGTTGATGTTGTTGTTCTATTTATATTATGCGTGATTATTTAGAAACTGTTTTGATTGTAAATTATATGTTAAATACGTATTACCAATGTTGGCATGAATATAGCCGATGCTGTTGATATAGTATTAAAACAACTAAATAAATAAATAAACAAACATAAATAAGAAACTAAGGTATGAGCTCCTAATTTATGTCAATGCATCAAAATTAACTAAAAACTGTTATGTAAAGTGTATTTATGGTACTTGTGTGCTGCTAAAATGTTCTGCTGGTCTCTGAACTTCATTATCTTAAGGTTAAAAGAAAGAAGCCAAGTACTCCTGAGAAGCCTGCTAAAAAACAGAAAAGCGGAGAGTCCTCCAAACCGAGCGGCTCTGCTAAGACCGAGAAAAGCAGCGACAATATGTTTCAGGTTGAGTTTTTCATCTCTCTTGTAAACAGCAGACTGAACATTATTCTGTCCATTAGATGGTTACTTATCAAATAAATGCATAGCCATGTACTATTGATTTGGTGGTATCTTGCTTGCAGATTAGCGTTAAGCTTCTACTTAAGAGCTATAGTACATTAAAAGATGGAAAACAATCATGTTGACAACAAGATAAACAGCTATTAATTAGTATTTTTACTTTCATCTGTAGTGCAATTTGATGCTTTTCTGTTGACTGGATAATGCCAATTAACACCAAGAAACTATAAGAAGTAATTGTCATGAAGACTATAAGAATAAACACTATAAGAAGTAATACTAATGCTACAAATATACACTTAAAACTATTTCTGAATTGCATGAAAATAGTCCACATCATTAATGACAATGACACAGAGGAACAATATTGAACCTGAATATTGAAAATGGAAGAAAAAGTTGATCCTGTTTTTCCCGCTGATGAATATGCAGCACATAAAAAGCTGTGCAATGCTTATCATAAACCTATTTAAACCTGTGGGAGTTATATCATAATCGTCCACAGTTATTATTCTTGGTGTGAATGTGCATTTAGGAAATGAGTTTAGATGTAACATTCTCTAGTGTTTGTATTTCTAAAAACTCAAGAAAAGGCGTAAATACAATGGTTCTGAAGGGATTTTGTAAATAATTATGGTCACATTTACTGATGTTAAGATGCTTTTGTCATTAAGTAGATACTAAATAGCACAGTGCATCCGGAAGTATTCATAGCGCTTCACTTTTCCACTTTTTTTGTTACAGCCTTATTTCAAAATGGATGAAATTCATTTATTTCCTCAAAGTTACAATCTCAAGTCTTTTTGAGTATGATGCCACAAGCTTGGTACACCTATCTTTGGGAATTTTTGCCCATTCCTCTTTGCAGTACCTCTCAAGTTCTTTAAGGTTGGATGGGAAGCGACACTGTACAGCCATTTTCAGATCTCTCCAGTGATGCTGAATAGGATTTAGGTCTGGGCTCTGGTTGAGCCACTCAAGGGCATTCACAGAGTTGTTGTGAAGCCACGCCATTGATATTTTGGCGGTGTTCTTTGGATCATCCCGCTGGACGATGAACAAGTGCTCTTGACCTCAGGTTTTCATTTAGGATGTCTCTAAATGACTGATGCATTCATCTTTCCCCCTATCCTGACTAGTCTTCCAGTTCCTGCTGCTGAAAACCATCCCCACAGCATGATGCTGCCGCCACCATGCTTTACTGTAGGGATAGTATTAGCCTAGCGATGAGCGATACCCTGTTTTCTTCAAACGTAACGCCTGGCATTCCCTCCAAAGAGTTTAATTTTAGTCTCATCAGACCAGAGAATGTTGTTTCTTATGGTCTGAGAATCCTTCAGATGCCTTTTGGCAAATTCCAGACGAGGAGTGGCTTATGTGTGGCCACTCTATCATACAGGCCTGATTGGTGGATTGCTGCACAGATTGTTGTCCTTCTGTAAGGTTTTCCTCTCTCCACAGAAGGATGCTGGAGCTCAGACAGAGTGAGCCCTTCTCCCCTGATCACTCTGCTTAGATGACTGGCCAGCTCTAGGAAGAGTCCTGGTGGTTCCAAACATTTTCCACTTATGGATGATGGAGGCCACTGTGCTTATTGGAACTTTCAGAGCAGCAGAAATTTTATTGTAACCTTCCCCAGCCTTGTGCCTCGAGACGATCCTGTCTCAGAGGTCTACAGACAATTCCTTTGTTTTCATGCTTGCTTTGTGCTTTGACATGCACTGTCAACCCTGGGACCTTATATAGACAGGTGTATGCCTTTTCAAATCATGTCCAATCAACTGAATTTACCACGGGTGAACTCTAATTAAGCTGCTGAAACATCTCAAGAATGATCAGTGGAAACCGAATGTACCTGAACTTAATTTAGAGATTCACAGCAAAGGCTGTGAATGTGCATGTGAATGTTTTTTTAATTTTTAGTTTTTTATTATTTTTATTTTTTATGTATTATTATTTCTGTTTAGGTTTTTTATTCGTGACAAATTTGAATCAATAAATGAATTTAATCCATTTTGGAATAAGGCTGTAACATAAAATGTGGAAAAAGTGAAGCCCTATGAATACATTCATGTGTCAAGCTGTTGTTTTAATTCATCATTTTCATCCCCTTTCAACCATTTTTTTTTAAGGAAGAGGTTCGGCATTTATTTTTATTATGACTTTATTATCTTTTAATCTAATATTGCAAAAAAGTTAGCTTGCACGAGTGACGTATGAACACAAAAGGAACAACTTTGAGATGGAGAGCAACAGCTTTAATTTCTGCTCTGATTTCCAGAAAATGTATTTTAAAGTGGTAATTTATCCAAAATCATTGTTATAAATTACTCACCCTCATGTGGTTCCCTGCGACCTTCATTCATATTCATCTTCAGAAGGCAAATTAAGATATTTTAGGTTAAATTGGTAGAATGTCCAGAAAAATACCAATATCAATCTATGAGAATACTTTTGTGTGCACATAAATAAAAAAAGGACTATTCAACAGTTTCTTCTCCTCTGTGTCAGTATATTGTGCACATTTAGTATCACTGAGCACATGAACCTGTATTTGCACAGAGGAGGAGAGGATGTTTCTTGGTATTTTTGTGGAGCTGAGAAATAATTAATCTATGTAGGATGAGAGAACTGTCAGATTTCATCTAAAATATTTTAATTAATGTTCCAAACAAAAGGCCTCAGGCTTCTGAACCACATCAGGATGAATAAAATAAAACTTTGGTGATCTAGCACTTTAGAACCAGGTGGTCCGCACCAATAGCCTAGTGGTTAGCGCATCGATATATAGCACCAAAGTACTGACGGCGACTTGAGTTCGATACACAGCTCAAGGTTTTTTACTGATCCATCCCTTATCTTTGCTCCCCACACTTTCCTATCTGTAAAATCTTCACAGTCCTATCTCAATAAAGGTAAAAACAGAAAAAAACAGGTGTAAACTGGGCCAGTGCTTTAGTGTTTGTTAATCAAAAGTAAAGCATGACTAATTGTAGAGCTGTTATTTACTGGTGCTCATATGAATTTTCATTTGTCCATTCCATGTTGTGAAATGTGACAGATTGGGAAACTGAGATACGTCAGTGTAAGGGATTTCAAAGGCAAGGTCTTGATCGACATCCGAGAGTATTGGATGGATCAGGCTGGTGAGATGAAGCCTGGAAAAAAAGGTAATCAGAGCCCACAAATTTTTATGGCTTATTTTTGTTTAAAATCTTAGTCGAGCACATATCCACAAGTGCCAGTGAAATGCTTCCTTTGATTTCTGTGCTGTGGTTAATTTTGCTTGATCCGTTGTATTGAATTTCTCCTCAGGCATTTCATTGAACCCTGAGCAGTGGAGTCAGCTGAAGGAACAAATGTCGGACATCGATGATGCTATTAAAAGATATTAAGATGTCTTTGTGAAGTGAATGATTGGCTGGTTCTTTTTAGAGTTCTGCACTTTGGTACACAGGGGATTTAACAAACGTTTCCTGTGACTCGATAGTATGTGTGAAAAGTTTAAAGACACCTCTTTGGTTTTGGTTTTTGTTTATTTCCAACTGTCTGTTGTTAAATGTTGATGTGTGGGTGATTATTTTAATAGTTTGATAGCCAGTGTTCTCACGCTCTGCCGATGTAATAAAGGCTTTTCTTGGTTTAGAGTTTTCAGCGTGTCATTCCGAGTATGATTTCATTGAACTGCACCTACTCTCTGTAAAAATGTTTACCATGTTGTGATGTTCCCTTTAGTAAAAAATAGAGTTTTTCCAACTCAAAGTTGTTGTATGATCCTGACAATAAACAGAGCAGTAATGGATGACCTAAAATGAAGGCGTTTGGCACTTCATGATGCTTGTTGTGTCCAGTCCCGAGTGTTTGTGTGTAATTTGCTTGCCTTCGCGTGGGAGCAGGAATTATAATGGTCCGTACACCCACTCAAACATAGACCAGACTCCAGAATAAAAACAGCCCTTTCACTTGACTGTCCAGAAGAGCCATCTTGCATCAATTGCATTTGCTGTCTAAATTAAATCAGTCTTAAATCATGGTAGCCACTGTATTGCCAGCACATCTTTGAGACAATATGGTTTATGGTGTTGCGTGCAAAGCAAGCATTATTCAGGCGGTTTCTGTAGGAGGTGACCACAGTGTGAACAACTTTTAGAATGATGCTGAGGTCCATGTGTTTTAGTAATAAAATCCATCTATTTATCTCTTGTATCTATTTTTATATCTGGTATTAACTATTTTACTGATTTGGTTCACCAAGCATTTCCAACTATTTCTACATTTAGTGCAAGAATAGTGCGGGAATACTATAATTATAATGTGAATGACAAGCAGGATTATTCATCCAAATAATTTTATAATCTTCTGAAGTGAAAACAGTGTCATTTGTGTTGGTAAACAGTAACCTAAACATTGAATATAAAGGTAGCATGTTATTCGAAATGTTTTAATTAGTATCTTTTATTCTAAAATAATTTTTTTTATTTATGTTTGAAAGTCATTTCATTAGTAGTTCAAATAATAAATCGAACACGAGTATGCTGCCATTTAGAGAGCGTATAGGAAAGAAAAAAAAGTCACCATGTTTTCAGACATGTTCATATTTATTATGCACAACGTCGTTCAAATATGTCAACAGATGGTTTTTGTTTTAAATATGCCTGACATATACACACATACACACACACATATATATATACCGGCCACTTCAATAAATACAGCTTACTAGTACCGGATTGGACCCCCTTTTGCCTTCTGCCTTAATCCTTTATGGCATAGATTCAACTAGGTACTGGAAATATTTCTCAGAGATTTTGGTCCATATTGACATGATGGCATCACACAGTTGCTGCAGATTTGTCACCTGCACATCCATGATGCGAATCCCCCATTACACCACATCCCAAAGCTGCTCTATTGGATTGAGAACTGGTGACTGTGGAGGCCATTTGAGTACAATAAACTCATTGTCATGTTTAAGAAACCAGTCTGAAATGATTTACGCTTTATGACATGGTGTGTTCTTCTGCTGGAAGTAGCCATCAGAAGATGGGTACACTGTAGTCATAAAGGGATGGACATGGTCAGCAACAATAGGCTTGTGGTGTTGATACAATGCTCAATCTGTGCTAATGAGCCCAAAGTGTGCCAAGAAAATCCATTAAACCACCACCAGCAGCCTGAACCATTGATAAAAGGCAGGATGGATCCATGCTTTCATGCTTTTCATCCAAATTCTCTAGAGCAGGGGTGTCCAAACTCTGTTCTGGAGGGCCAGTGACATGCAGATTTTAGATCCAACTTGCCTCAACACACCTGCAAGGATGTTTCTAGAAAGGCTAGTAAGAGCTTGATTAGTTAGCCCAGGTGTGTCTGATAGGGGTTGGAACTAAACTTTGCAGGACACCGGCTCTCCGGGACCGAGTTTGGACATGCATGCTCTAGAGAAACCTTATAAACCAGGTGTGACCAACCCTGTTCCTGGAGATCGACCTCCCTGCAGATTTCAGTTGCAACCCATATCAAATACACCTGCCTGTAATTATCAAGTGCTGTTCAGGTCCTAATTAATTGGTTCAGGTGTGTTTGATCTGGGTTGGAGCTGAACTTTGCAGGAAGGTTGATCTCCAGGAACAGGGTTGAGCACCACTGCTTTAAACCCTAGAGATGGGTGTGCATGAAAATCCCATTAGATCAGTGGTTTTTGAAATACTCAGACCAGTCCGTCTGACACCAACAACCATGCCACATTCAAAGTCCCTTAAATCAACCTTCATCTCCATTCTGATGCTCGGTTTGAACTGCACTAGATCGTCTTGACCATTTCACCTTCATTTTTGTTACTAAATACCAATATAATCTAATAAAACTCTTGATCAAAATAAAACTAGACGTTATTGATGATCACATGCTTAGACTTGAGTTAAAGTGTCTATAATTTGATGAATCAGTTATTTGTCACAGTAAGGTCCGTGTATCATCCGTTCATTTGATTATTCCTTTTATTACGGAAAACGAAACATCAGAAAAACGATGAATATTTCGTTGTTCTGTTTATTCTGTAGGCAGAAAAAACGGAAACTCATCTGTTATTCTGCTTATTAACTTAAAACGACATATTAAAACAAACACAAAACCAAAACGAAATAATGAGTCAAAAAATGGTCCGTGTACGGTCCGTGTACATTTTGTTCATTTGTTTTCCATTTTCAAACGGAATAAAGGAAATGGAGAAAACGGCCGTTTTTCCGTTTTTCTTTTGCTCACGAGAAAACGAAAAAACGAGATTTTGGCTGGATTTTCGTTTTTTGGTTTAGGGTAGGAAAACGGATAAACGACTTTAAAATTCATTTTACACATGTAGGCGGTGCTGAAACGCCCACTTTCCTCCAATTGGTTAACCAAATCTGCGCTCGTGACGTCACTCTCAAAATAAAAGCCTTACACGCAGGCTTTTAATTATTATTATTTAATTATATATTAACTAAGTTTACATATTCTATCATTTGAACCACACACAGTTAGCAGGCTTACATTCATTGCGTATGTATAAATTAAATAAAAACGTAAAGCAGTATTCTTAGACTTTGTCTTTAAAATAAGGTCATAGTTCACTGCCAAGCTTCTTGCTGCTTTGCACCTGATGCAGAGCAAAGATAGCCGTTTCCGAGGAGCACCTGGTTTGCATGATTGTTTCAGAGCAAGGGCTTTATAATAATAATAATATTAATAATAATAATAATAATAATAATAATAATAATAATAATTATTATTATTATTATTATTATTATTATCAGTTACTAGTGTTTTTATTGTTTGGTGTTTTTTTTTTTCTTTTTAATAGTTGTTAGCAGAACCAGAATAAGAACACTTTGGGCCCTGCTATAGAAACAAAGGGTACCATTTGTTTTCATTTATTTCTTCCTATTTATATTGTAATTATTTATTTGATAATTAATACTATTTTATTGCAACGCCAAAGTAGGCCTGTCTTATTATTTTTTTTTATTAAATTTGCTTTTATTGTAGGCTAGATGGCAGGCTTTAAATATTTTAAATAACATTTACTCATAACCTTACTAATTCGAGAGCCGAACCTAAAAAAGTTTACGTGCAATAAGCCTGTACAATAAAGGGAGCCGCAATGCATATTTCTAGCGCATTCTTTCACTCAACAATTATTGCTGGAATAATGACATAAATTTCAAATTAACTAATTAAACACATTATAGTTGATAAAAAAAATTGTGTCTAGTTCCGACAAACAGATGAGCTCGCTACATGTGCGTTGCGCTAATAATTTGACATTTGCTCTTCTTGAGAAAGTGCTACAGCGGGCCCTGCTATTTCACATATAAGGTTAGTGATACGTATTTTAAATTAGTATTGCACATTATTCATTCATTTTCTTGTCGGCTTAGTCCCTTTATTAATCCGGGGTCGCCACAGCGGAATGAACCGCCAACTTATTTAGCAAGTTTTTACGCAGCGGATGCCCTTCCAGCCGCAACCCATCTCTGGGAAACATCCACACATACACACACACTTATACAGTACGGACAATTTAGCCTACCCAATTTACCTGTACCGCATGTCTTTGGACTGTGGGGAAAACCGGAGCACCCGGAGGAAACCCACGCGAACGCACTACACTACTGAATTAGACACACAATCTCAAAAAAAAAAAAAACTTGATGCTTATTTACATTATCTAAAGTCATTTCTTACGAGGAAGGATCTGTTGTTGTATTATATATTTTCGTTTTAATATGCAAATAATTTTCTTTAATTTGTAATAGGCCTATTGTCCCTCATTGCATAAAATAACCAGCCTTTGTATTCAATATGTTTGTAAATTGTCCATCCAGTTTGACACAAGCTAAACAACATTTTGGCCTGTTTTGCTTATTAAATGAGTGATTTTCACGGAGAAACAAATCATCCATCCACACAGTTTTGTATAGGACCCGTGTGAACAAAAATATACACTTCATCATAGCCTATAGGAAAATGTATCTGTTTAGAACCAATTTTTTGTTGTATAATTAAAAATATTAAAAATACAATAAAAAAAGGAATAACATTTGAAGTGCAATGCTTCAAAGATCCAATACGCTGCATGCAGAGCCAAAACAAAAACTGGTTTGTTTGTTTAATAAAATAATAATATGAAATTAAAGTGAAATAGTTCCATAACCTGTATTATAACTGTAGTCACCCTAGATGACAAATCATCCGTTGCGCCGGTCAGTTTCATTCCGGTGTACGTTTTGTTCATTTGTTTTCCATTTTCAAACGGAATAAAGGAAATGGAGAAAACGGCTGTTTTTCCGTTTTTCTTTTGCTCACGAGAAAACGAAAAAACGAGATTTTGGCTGGATTTTCGTTTTTTTGGTTTAGGGTAGGAAAACGGATAAACGACTTTAAAATTCATTTTACACATGTAGGCGGTGCTGAAACGCCCACTTTCCTCTAATTGGTTAACCAAATCTGCGCTCGTGACGTCACCCTCAAAATAAAAGCCTTACACGCAGGCTTTTAATTATTATTATTTAATTATATATATAAACAAAGTTTACATATTCTATCATTTGAACCACACACAGTTAGCAGGCTTACATTCATTACGTATGTATAAATTAAATAAAAACGT